ATGGGTGTAGCCCAAGGGTCATAAACGAAGTTGGCTGAGCTAGTGATGTTAATGTGAGAAGTTAGCATGTTAATGTCAGATCGCAGAGCCGCGTCCACGTTGAGGGCGGCGCGCGGAGGTGGCTGTGTTGGTGTGAAAAATTGTAACCTGTTAATGTAAAATCGGAGAAGCGAAGCCACGGGGAAAATAAAAACTAACATTGGAAGGTGGCAGGATGGGAACAGAGCCAGTTATGACTTAAACTGGTTGATAACGACTTTTGTCAATGACTGTGTACATCGTTTCCTCAAACTCGGATAACCAAATCTTGAACCTAAAGCTTTCGTGACTGCAGGAATTCATATTCATAAAACCACGTAGATAGAACAAATAATAAAAATAACAATATTTTAATGTTATATCTACGTGGCTTTACCGAAAGACCCAAATAATAGGATAACTAACCTTCAATTCAAGATTTAACTTCCGTAGAATGAACGGCACACGATGTTATGCACGCAAAATGTCGCAGCCTGGTTCACTGCGGTTGTGCATTACGTGGGATGCTGCGACTCATTACTGTACAATCTAGATTTGAAGCAGTTGTTTCTTGCTGTGGTTGTTCCACCTGATGACGGACACTTGTGTTGCGCCCGAAACGTCGTGATTTAAGTTATTTTATACCTACGTGGCTTGACCGAAAGAACCAAAAAGAGCCATTACTGTACATGGCTGAGCCTTCAGTGCATCGCAAGTTGTTACTGGCCAGCATGACAAATGAGTTAAATAACCTCCACAATTCGTACAGCGTGGGCTCTAGACGGACATTAACTTAACACCAGTTCAACTTCCACTGGGTGAGGCTGGGGATGATTTCACAAGAAACGTGACACGAGATACAGCAACAAGTTGGCATGGGTATAAAAGTAACTTTATTTTCATTGTTGTTGTCATGGACAGAAACAAAAGACTTCCATAATTTCACTTGTTTCATAATTTCAGGTAAATGCGTAATTTAAAAAAAGACGAAATACACTGTAGAGCATGCACTAAAAAACTCCGCTGGAAAACCTCGAATTCGCAAATACTGTGCTGCGACACGCGAGGGTGCCGAGCCGACCCCAACACCGGCGCTCCCCAGCACGCGCTTCACAGTTTTAATCCCGGCCCAGGTGCTCCTCTTTTGTTTTCCTTCACCACGTGACAAAGGCAGCAGTGGGAAGTCAGCCAACTTTCAGTGTGAGAGCCGTCCACTCTGGAGGTGGTTTACGTAGGGATGTTCATCACCCACAGGATGCGTTATTGTGCAGTGTAACCCAGAGGAGATGTGTGAACACCCAGACGTAGTCAAACTACTGCACGTGTTTCGATGACGGGCTCTCCTCACGACATCACGACTCTCAGCATCCATGCATGGGAACCACACGGCACGGGGAAAGCACCAGACGTGAGGGACATGGGGTGACCAAGTGTGGAGAGGGGTACATGGGGGTGAAGAGGAGGTACATAGTGGAAGAGGGGAGGGGGGGGACAGGGGGTCTAGTGGCATTGCCCTGCATGACCTAACCCCCCCCTCACCGCAGCCACACAAGATGCGTTCCCTGAAACCATTATATATTTTAGCGCCAATGCAACACTGCAAGAGAGTGGACTGCCTAACTTTGAAAGTGACGTGCATATCTGTACAGCACAAACCAAATTGGAGCCAACCAATAGCTCTCCGAGTGTTTTCTAGTTGTCATTTCCTGGAGAAGCTCCCAGCACGTGCTGCAAAAAAAATCATACCTCGCGCTGAATGCCACACGGCACAACATAGAGACACGTCGGAGAGCTATGGTGCACAACTACATAAACCTACGCGGTAGAATGGAGCCCATGTTCATGGGCGTGGAGGGGGCACGTGCGTGGTGTGGAGCAGTGGTGACTTCAGCCTCGGCCACATCGTATGGCGCAACAACACCATCGACTAGAACGACATGCATCCAACCGCCACCACACGCTCAATTCACTACCGCAGGTCACCATGACCACACAGCTATCGCCACCACTACAAGTCTACCGCGCAATCAACCACTACCAGTCAACTTCAGTTGACCGTTACACTACCGGAGTCGACCACTACCGCGGTCGACAGACGCCGCAGAGTTGTTCACTACCTGTGCCGCGTGCCGCTCAGCACGCGGCACGCTCAGCACGCGGCACACGCCGCACGCTCAGCACGCGGCACGCTCAGCACGCGGCGAGACCCACGGCGTTCCCCGACACCCGGAGCGCTGTGCGAGAGAAGTGACGTCCGTCCACTGCAGTACCAGGGCGCGGCGCATTGCGGCGCTTGTTTTGACCATACTTCACCACGCTGGTACCAGAGCGGGTCTGTGAATGCGGGCGAGTGAAGGCTCGAGTTCCGTACAGTGCTGACATACACGCAATTTGCAGGTTAATTGAATGCAAGTACACCGTCGAAACTGATAGCAAGAGGAAATTATATACCGAGCCAGTGGTATAAAATCCTCATTTCGAGGGCGGCGAGCGGCGACTCGCATATGACCACCGCTGTTGATTCGCCACAAAGTAGTGCACTGTTGACTTCATTCACACCGCACTGTAGTGTCACTGTACAATGCACGTAAGCCCAACCGTGCACGCGCAGACAGCGCTGTACACGCGTACCGTGCGAACATAACGTCAACAACATAACGTCAATAACACAACATAACGTCAATAACACAACAACATAACGTCAATAACACAACAACACAACGTCAATAACATAACGTCAATAACATAACGTCAATAACACAACATAACGTCAATAACATAACGTCAACAACATAACGTCAAAAGCATAACGTCAACAACATAACGTCAATAACATAACGTCAACAACATAACGTCAATAGCATAACGTCAATAACACAACATAACGTCAATAACACAACAACATAACGTCAACAACATAACGTCAATAACATAACGTCAACAACATAACGTCAATAACACAACATAACGTCAATAACACAACATAACGTCAATAACATAACGTCAATAACATAACGTCAACAACATAACGTCAATAACATAACGTCAACAACATAACGTCAATAACACAACATAACGTCAATAACACAACATAACGTCAATAACATAACGTCAATAACATAACGTCAACAACATAACGTCAATAACATAACGTCAACAACATAACGTCAATAACATAACGTCAACAACATAACGTCAATAACGTCTTCATTCTGCTTCGCGGTGCACAGCATACAGAAGAAGTGCATCCGACAGCCACGACTCTACTGACGCTACCCATTACTCTCACCAACCCGCACTGAGCAGGCGAGGTGAAGTATGGTCAAGTTAATAAACCCCACGGGGTGTGCAGAGGCCCTCGTCCAGCAGTGGACGCGTGGAGCACAAAGAGGAGGGGGTATGGGAGAGGAGGAGGAGCGGGCGCGACTTGTCCATCACCTGCCCCTTCTGGTAGACGACGTCTCCCCGCGACACGGCCATGGACGATGGCGCGAGCGAGCGAGCCCGCAAAGAGGCCCCCCAGGAGCTTTGAAACCTCGCAGGAGAAGCGCGCGACTGAAGGTGGTGGTGGTTGTTGTTGGCGGCGGGGGTGGTGGTGGTGAAGCCAAGCCGGCCGGTTCCCTTACGTAACGAACACAACAGCAACAGCAAGGAGACACGCTGCTTTAGCTGGGTGTTGTTTATCGGAGCTTATCGAAGGCCGCCTCTCTCGCTGCCTCCGAGTGAAGGGAGCGCGCGCCCCATGTGCGCCCTGAACGCCGCCACCGCACACCTGCGACTCGCCGCCGGCGGCCATCTTACGCAAGGGAGGCGTCGCCCGCCGCTGTGAATGGGAAAGCCGGCGATGGGCGTCATCAACACGTCACCACTTCACCTCCCCCCTCCCCACGAAGAAACGGGACACGGGGATTGGGCCAAAGCGGGAAACTCTTCCCTGTGTAAGATGGCCGACAGGAACGCGTACACCGCGGCAGCGCTACGGACCCCGCCCCCTCCTCCCCGTCTCCCCCCCCCCGCCATTATCCTCCCCGCTACCGCTATAGGCGCTGCGCGAGACGCCGCGTGATAAAAATGTTTTATTATTAATTAGGGCGCAACCTCGGTCTGTGACGTAACAAACATAATTGTTGGGGGCGGTGTCAGCTGACGTCACTGGCAGGTATCGAATTTCTAACCACGTCACATCCGCGCGTCACATCCGCGCGTCACATCCGCGCGTCACATCCGCGCGTCACATCCGGCGATGACGTTGCAATCATCACAGGCTAAATACACGTGACGCTCGCACGTGACGCTCACACTCCAACTGGCTCCTCGCTGGCAACACGCGTGGTCAAGATGTTGCTGCTGCATGGGGTCAAGGCGTTTGTCATGTTGACCTTGATTCACATTACCGGATTGGTCGATTATAAAGGAGACAGTGCCAACTACCCGACCCCGACTCCATTGTGCACAAAGCCCTACATAGACCCGCTGCCATGCGTTGTGTCACGGCTGATGGGCATTGCGATAGTGATGATGGCTGTGATCCAGATATTCCTGTGGCGTCGTTGGAGCTGTAACCTATCCGACGCCGAGCGTTACAGCGCCATGCTGTGCGAGGACAACGTGAAGCTGCGTCAAAGAACAAGCACGGTGGAAGACGACAACGCCACCCTGAGGGTGAGGGAGGCGGCGACGCGTAAGGACAATGAGGCGTTGCGTCGAGAGATGCTGCTTCAGGAGAGGGCGATGGTGCTGCATCCACAGATGCTGCATGAGGAGAGCCGGCTCGTAGAGAAGGAGAATCAACGGCTGCGTCACGAGAACGAGAAGCTGATTCGCGCCGCAGCCGTCAACGTCAGCACCTCCACCAATGTCACGGACACTCCCAACGCCGCGAACGCCAACACCAACAATGCCATCACCACGACGCCAACACCGCCGCCACTAATGCCATTGCCAAGACGAAAAAACTTTCATTTTTATGGCTCAGAAACCTCTTTCATTCAACTATTTCATTTTAAAAGTTAAAAAGCCCGAATTAAAACATCACAAAGGCAAAAGACAAAGAACCCCCGCATAGCCTTCACAGACTGTTTGGACAAGGGCTGTTAGCAAGGACGTATAACCTACACGACCGCTCCTCACACAAAGACAAAGATCCCCCGTTTTGCCTTAACAGACTGTAGGGGCAAGTGCTGTTAGCGAGCACCTATGAAGGCCGAAATGGTACACGAGTGGGTGGGTGGCCAGCACCACGCCCGACTGCCTTTGTCTCCCCAGTGGTGATGTTTACACCGCACCAGGTACTCATTTGAGGCTGAGTCGACCTAGGGGAGGCCCGGGACCGGTTCAGATAATCGTCACTGTTGGCCGTGAGCGGGAATTGAACCCGGGTCGCCAGGTTCATAGCGCAGCGCGCTAACAGCTACACTATCGCTCACACACACATGGACACACACATGGACACACACACAAGTGCCTGACTTACTAATGGGTTCTGTTCCTGAAGACCCTTCATAAGTCGAATGGTTCGTAAGTCGGGACGCGATAATTTACTGTATTTAAATGCACATACCTGTAAGTGTTATAAAATGTGTTATGGTTAAACAAAAAAGGGAAGCATTGTTAGGCAGAAAAATAACAATAATTGTACATTTGCCTGTAACACTGTAAAAAATATACTGTATGGGGAATACAACTCAAAATAAAGTTACGTGAAAATAAATTAATCCGATTTGTTTTCGTTACCTTGAGTCTAGTCACGTGGTAACACTGTGGTGGTATTGTGAGTAATGTATCACGTGGTAACACTGTGGGGGTATTGTGAGTAATGTATCACGTGGTAACAATAAGGGGTGTATTGTGAGTAATGTGTCGCGTGGTAACACTGTGGGGGTATTGTGAGTAATGCATCACGTGGTAACACTGTGGGGGTATTGTGAGTAATGCATCACGTGGTAACACCGTGGGGGTATTGTGAGTAATGCATCACGTGGTAACACTGTGGGGGGCATTAACTCACTACTTATACCGTAAGGTCGATTTTGTCAATTCGGGAACGGAATGACATCGCGAGCTGAAAATAGTCGCGTTGACTTAGAAATTCCAGACAGCATAAGCTGTGTAAATTTCATGACGCCAGAGCTCAGCGTTCGAGAGTTTTTGCTGCTTCACAAAGATGCATTTTCTGCTTTATAATTAAGATTCTTTGGGTCTTTCGGTAAAGCCACGTAGATAGGTTAAAAGAAAATAACCTAAACTACGACGTTTCGTTCGCAACACAAGCGATCGTCATCAGGAGGAATAAAATAGGGTGAAAGCTGCTGAGGCAGACTGTTTTAAAGGTTTAAAATGGGTGTAGCCCAAGGGTCATAAACGAAGTTGGCTGAGCTAGTGATGTTAATGTGAGAAGTTAGCATGTTAATGTCAGATCGCAGAGCCGCGTCCACGTTGAGGGCGGCGCGCGGAGGTGGCTGTGTTGGTGTGAAAAATTGTAACCTGTTAATGTAAAATCGGAGAAGCGAAGCCACGGGGAAAATAAAAACTAACATTGGAAGGTGGCAGGATGGGAACAGAGCCAGTTATGACTTAAACTGGTTGATAACGACTTTTGTCAATGACTGTGTACATCGTTTCCTCAAACTCGGATAACCAAATCTTGAACCTAAAGCTTTCGTGACTGCAGGAATTCATATTCATAAAACCACGTAGATAGAACAAATAATAAAAATAACAATATTTTAATGTTATATCTACGTGGCTTTACCGAAAGACCCAAATAATAGGATAACTAACCTTCAATTCAAGATTTAACTTCCGTAGAATGAACGGCACACGATGTTATGCACGCAAAATGTCGCAGCCTGGTTCACTGCGGTTGTGCATTACGTGGGATGCTGCGACTCATTACTGTACAATCTAGATTTGAAGCAGTTGTTTCTTGCTGTGGTTGTTCCACCTGATGACGGACACTTGTGTTGCGCCCGAAACGTCGTGATTTAAGTTATTTTATACCTACGTGGCTTGACCGAAAGAACCAAAAAGAGCCATTACTGTACATGGCTGAGCCTTCAGTGCATCGCAAGTTGTTACTGGCCAGCATGACAAATGAGTTAAATAACCTCCACAATTCGTACAGCGTGGGCTCTAGACGGACATTAACTTAACACCAGTTCAACTTCCACTGGGTGAGGCTGGGGATGATTTCACAAGAAACGTGACACGAGATACAGCAACAAGTTGGCATGGGTATAAAAGTAACTTTATTTTCATTGTTGTTGTCATGGACAGAAACAAAAGACTTCCATAATTTCACTTGTTTCATAATTTCAGGTAAATGCGTAATTTAAAAAAAGACGAAATACACTGTAGAGCATGCACTAAAAAACTCCGCTGGAAAACCTCGAATTCGCAAATACTGTGCTGCGACACGCGAGGGTGCCGAGCCGACCCCAACACCGGCGCTCCCCAGCACGCGCTTCACAGTTTTAATCCCGGCCCAGGTGCTCCTCTTTTGTTTTCCTTCACCACGTGACAAAGGCAGCAGTGGGAAGTCAGCCAACTTTCAGTGTGAGAGCCGTCCACTCTGGAGGTGGTTTACGTAGGGATGTTCATCACCCACAGGATGCGTTATTGTGCAGTGTAACCCAGAGGAGATGTGTGAACACCCAGACGTAGTCAAACTACTGCACGTGTTTCGATGACGGGCTCTCCTCACGACATCACGACTCTCAGCATCCATGCATGGGAACCACACGGCACGGGGAAAGCACCAGACGTGAGGGACATGGGGTGACCAAGTGTGGAGAGGGGTACATGGGGGTGAAGAGGAGGTACATAGTGGAAGAGGGGAGGGGGGGGACAGGGGGTCTAGTGGCATTGCCCTGCATGACCTAACCCCCCCCTCACCGCAGCCACACAAGATGCGTTCCCTGAAACCATTATATATTTTAGCGCCAATGCAACACTGCAAGAGAGTGGACTGCCTAACTTTGAAAGTGACGTGCATATCTGTACAGCACAAACCAAATTGGAGCCAACCAATAGCTCTCCGAGTGTTTTCTAGTTGTCATTTCCTGGAGAAGCTCCCAGCACGTGCTGCAAAAAAAATCATACCTCGCGCTGAATGCCACACGGCACAACATAGAGACACGTCGGAGAGCTATGGTGCACAACTACATAAACCTACGCGGTAGAATGGAGCCCATGTTCATGGGCGTGGAGGGGGCACGTGCGTGGTGTGGAGCAGTGGTGACTTCAGCCTCGGCCACATCGTATGGCGCAACAACACCATCGACTAGAACGACATGCATCCAACCGCCACCACACGCTCAATTCACTACCGCAGGTCACCATGACCACACAGCTATCGCCACCACTACAAGTCTACCGCGCAATCAACCACTACCAGTCAACTTCAGTTGACCGTTACACTACCGGAGTCGACCACTACCGCGGTCGACAGACGCCGCAGAGTTGTTCACTACCTGTGCCGCGTGCCGCTCAGCACGCGGCACGCTCAGCACGCGGCACGCTCAGCACGCGGCACGCTCAGCACGCGGCACGCTCAGCACGCGGCGAGACCCACGGCGTTCCCCGACACCCGGAGCGCTGTGCGAGAGAAGTGACGTCCGTCCACTGCAGTACCAGGGCGCGGCGCATTGCGGCGCTTGTTTTGACCATACTTCACCACGCTGGTACCAGAGCGGGTCTGTGAATGCGGGCGAGTGAAGGCTCGAGTTCCGTACAGTGCTGACACACACGCAATTTGCAGGTTAATTGAATGCAAGTACACCGTCGAAACTGATAGCAAGAGGAAATTATATACCGAGCCAGTGGTAGAAATTCCTCATTTCGAGGGCGGCGAGCGGCGACTCGCATATGACCACCGCTGTTGATTCGCCACAAAGTAGTGCACTGTTGACTTCATTCACACCGCACTGTAGTGTCACTGTACAATGCACGTAAGCCCAACCGTGCACGCGCAGACAGCGCTGTACACGCGTACCGTGCGAACATAACGTCAACAACATAACGTCAATAACACAACAACATAACGTCAATAACACAACAACATAACGTCAATAGCATGTCAACAACATAACGTCAATAACATAACGTCAATCACATAACGTCAATAACACAACATAACGTCAATAACATAACGTCAACAACATAACGTCAAAAGCATAACGTCAACAACATAACGTCAATAACATAACGTCAACAACATAACGTCAATAGCATAACGTCAATAACACAACATAACGTCAATAACACAACAACATAACGTCAACAACATAACGTCAATAACATAACGTCAACAACATAACGTCAATAGCATAACGTCAATAACACAACATAACGTCAATAACATAACGTCAACAACATAACGTCAACAACATAACGTCAATAACATAACGTCAACAACATAACGTCAATAACATAACGTCAATAGCATAACGTCAATAACACAACATAACGTCAATAACATAACGTCAATAACATAACGTCAACAACATAACGTCAATAACATAACGTCAACAACATAACGTCAATAACATAACGTCAACAACATAACGTCAATAACGTCTTCATTCTGCTTCGCGGTGCACAGCATACAGAAGAAGTGCATCCGACAGCCACGACTCTACTGACGCCACCCACTCTCACCACTCTCACCAACCCGCACTGAGCAGGCGAGGTGAAGTATGGTCAAGTTAATAAACCCCACGGGGTGTGCAGAGGCCCTCGTCCAGCAGTGGACGCGTGGAGCACAAAGAGGAGGGGGTATGGGAGAGGAGGAGGAGCGGGCGCGACTTGTCCATCACCTGCCCCTTCTGGTAGACGACGTCTCCCCGCGACACGGCCATGGACGATGGCGCGAGCGAGCGAGCGAGCCCGCAAAGAGGCCCCCCAGGAGCTTTGAAACCTCGCAAGAGAAGCGCGCGACTGAAGGTGGTGGTGGTGGTTGTTGTTGGCGGCGGTGGTGGTGGTGGTGAAGCCAAGCCGGCCGGTTCCCTTACGTAACGAACACAGCAGCAGCAAGGAGACACGCTGCTTTAGCTGGGTGTTGTTTATCGGAGCTTATCGAAGGCCGCCTCTCTCGCTGCCTCCGAGTGAAGGGAGCGCGCGCCCCATGTGCGCCCTGAACGCCGCCACCGCACACCTGCGACTCGCCGCCGGCGGCCATCTTACGCAAGGGAGGCGTCGCCCGCCGCTGTGAATGGGAAAGCCGGCGATGGGCGTCATCAACACGTCACCACTTCACCTCCCCCCTCCCCACGAAGAAACGGGACACGGGGATTGGGCCAAAGCGGGAAACTCTTCCCTGTGTAAGATGGCCGACAGGAACGCGTACACCGCGGCAGCGCTACGGACCCCGCCCCCTCCTCCCCGTCTCCCCCCCCCGCCATTATCCTCCCCGCTACCGCTATAGGCGCTGCGCGAGACGCCGCGTGATAAAAATGTTTTATAATTAATTAGGGCGCAACCTCGGTCTGTGACGTAACAAACATAATTGTTGGGGGCGGTGTCAGCTGACGTCACTGGCAGGTATCGAATTTCTAACCACGTCACATCCGCGCGTCACATCCGCGCGTCACATCCGCGCGTCACATCCGCGCGTCACATCCGCGCGTCACATCCGGCGATGACGTTGCAATCATCACAGGCTAAATACACGTGACGCTCGCACGTGACGCTCACACTCCAACTGGCTCCTCGCTGGCAACACGCGTGGTCAAGATGTTGCTGCTGCATGGGGTCAAGGCGTTTGTCATGTTGACCTTGATTCACATTACCGGATTGGTCGATTATAAAGGAGACAGTGCCAACTACCCGACCCCGACTCCATTGTGCACAAAGCCCTACATAGACCCGCTGCCATGCGTTGTGTCACGGCTGATGGGCATTGCGATAGTGATGATGGCTGTGATCCAGATATTCCTGTGGCGTCGTTGGAGCTGTAACCTATCCGACGCCGAGCGTTACAGCGCCATGCTGTGCGAGGACAACGTGAAGCTGCGTCAAAGAACAAGCACGGTGGAAGACGACAACGCCACTCTGAGGGTGAGGGAGGCGGCGACGCGTAAGGACAATGAGGCGTTGCGTCGAGAGATGCTGCTTCAGGAGAGGGCGATGGTGCTGCATCCACAGATGCTGCATGAGGAGAGCCGGCTCGTAGAGAAGGAGAATCAACGGCTGCGTCATGAGAACGAGAAGCTGATTCGCGCCGCAGCCGTCAACGTCAGCACCTCCACCAATGTCACGGACACTCCCAACGCCGCGAACGCCAACACCAACAACGCCATCACCACGACGCCAACACCGCCGCCACTAATGCCATTGCCAAGACGAATAAACTTTCATTTTTATGGCTCAGAAACCTCTTTCATTCAACTATTTCATTTTAAAAGTTAAAAAGCCCGAATTAAAACATCACAAAGGCAAAAGACAAAGAACCCCCGCATAGCCTTCACAGACTGTTTGGACAAGGGCTGTTAGCAAGGACGTATAACCTACACGACCGCACCTCACACAAAGATCCCCCATTTTGCCTAAACAGACTGTAGGGGCAGGTGCTGTTAGCGAGCACCTATGAAGGCCGAAATGGTACACGAGTGGGTGGGTGGCCAGCACCACGCCCGACTGCCTTTGTCTCCCCAGTGGCGATGTTTACACCGCACCAGGTACTCATTTGAGGCTGAGTCGACCTAGGGGAGGCCCGGGACCGGTTCAGATAATCGTCACTGTTGGCCGTGAGCGGGAATTGAACCCGGGTCGCCAGGTTCATAGCGCAGCGCGCTAACAGCTACACTATCGCTCACACACACATGGACACACACATGGACACACACACAAGTGGCTGACTTACTAATGGGTTCTGTTCCTGAAGACCCTTCATAAGTCGAATGGTTCGTAAGTCGGGACGCGATAATTTACTGTATTTAAATGCACATACCTGTAAGTGTTATAAAATGTGTTATGGTTAAACAAAAAAGGGAAGCATTGTTAGGCATAAAAATAACAATAATTGTACATTTGCCTGTAACACTGTAAAAAATATACTGTATGGGGAATACAACTCAAAATAAAGTTACGTGAAAATAAATTAATCCGATTTGTTTTCGTTACCTTGAGTCTAGTCACGTGGTAACACTGTGGTGGTATTGTGAGTAATGTATCACGTGGTAACACTGTGGGGGTATTGTGAGTAATGTATCACGTGGTAACACTGTGGGGGTATTGTGAGTAATGTATCACGTGGTAACACTGTTGGGGTATTGTGAGTAATGTATGGCGTGGTAACAAAGTGAGGGCATTGTGAGAAATGCATCACGTGTTAACACCATGAGGGTATTGTGAGGAATGTATCACGTGGTAACAATATGGGGGGCATTAACTCACTACTTATACCGTAAGGTCGATTTTGTCAATTCGGGAACGGAATGACATCGCGAGCTGAAAATAGTCGCGTTGACTTAGAAATTCCAGACAGCATAAGCTGTGTAAATTTCATGACGCCAGAGCTCAGCGTTCGAGAGTTTTTGCTGCTTCACAAAGATGCATTTTCTGCTTTATAATTAAGATTCTTTGGGTCTTTCGGTAAAGCCACGTAGATAGGTTAAAAGAAAATAACCTAAACTACGACGTTTCGTTCGCAACACAAGCGATCGTCATCAGGAGGAATAAAATAGGGTGAAAGCTGCTGAGGCAGACTGTTTTAAAGGTTTAAAATGGGTGTAGCCCAAGGGTCATAAACGAAGTTGGCTGAGCTAGTGATGTTAATGTGAGAAGTTAGCATGTTAATGTCAGATCGCAGAGCCGCGTCCACGTTGAGGGCGGCGCGCGGAGGTGGCTGTGTTGGTGTGAAAAATTGTAACCTGTTAATGTAAAATCGGAGAAGCGAAGCCACGGGGAAAATAAAAACTAACATTGGAAGGTGGCAGGATGGGAACAGAGCCAGTTATGACTTAAACTGGTTGATAACGACTTTTGTCAATGACTGTGTACATCGTTTCCTCAAACTCGGATAACCAAATCTTGAACCTAAAGCTTTCGTGACTGCAGGAATTCATATTCATAAAACCACGTAGATAGAACAAATAATAAAAATAACAATATTTTAATGTTATATCTACGTGGCTTTACCGAAAGACCCAAATAATAGGATAACTAACCTTCAATTCAAGATTTAACTTCCGTAGAATGAACGGCACACGATGTTATGCACGCAAAATGTCGCAGCCTGGTTCACTGCGGTTGTGCATTACGTGGGATGCTGCGACTCATTACTGTACAATCTAGATTTGAAGCAGTTGTTTCTTGCTGTGGTTGTTCCACCTGATGACGGACACTTGTGTTGCGCCCGAAACGTCGTGATTTAAGTTATTTTATACCTACGTGGCTTGACCGAAAGAACCAAAAAGAGCCATTACTGTACATGGCTGAGCCTTCAGTGCATCGCAAGTTGTTACTGGCCAGCATGACAAATGAGTTAAATAACCTCCACAATTCGTACAGCGTGGGCTCTAGACGGACATTAACTTAACACCAGTTCAACTTCCACTGGGTGAGGCTGGGGATGATTTCACAAGAAACGTGACACGAGATACAGCAACAAGTTGGCATGGGTATAAAAGTAACTTTATTTTCATTGTTGTTGTCATGGACAGAAACAAAAGACTTCCATAATTTCACTTGTTTCATAATTTCAGGTAAATGCGTAATTTAAAAAAAGACGAAATACACTGTAGAGCATGCACTAAAAAACTCCGCTGGAAAACCTCGAATTCGCAAATACTGTGCTGCGACACGCGAGGGTGCCGAGCCGACCCCAACACCGGCGCTCCCCAGCACGCGCTTCACAGTTTTAATCCCGGCCCAGGTGCTCCTCTTTTGTTTTCCTTCACCACGTGACAAAGGCAGCAGTGGGAAGTCAGCCAACTTTCAGTGTGAGAGCCGTCCACTCTGGAGGTGGTTTACGTAGGGATGTTCATCACCCACAGGATGCGTTATTGTGCAGTGTAACCCAGAGGAGATGTGTGAACACCCAGACGTAGTCAAACTACTGCACGTGTTTCGATGACGGGCTCTCCTCACGACATCACGACTCTCAGCATCCATGCATGGGAACCACACGGCACGGGGAAAGCACCAGACGTGAGGGACATGGGGTGACCAAGTGTGGAGAGGGGTACATGGGGGTGAAGAGGAGGTACATAGTGGAAGAGGGGAGGGGGGGGACAGGGGGTCTAGTGGCATTGCCCTGCATGACCTAACCCCCCCCTCACCGCAGCCACACAAGATGCGTTCCCTGAAACCATTATATATTTTAGCGCCAATGCAACACTGCAAGAGAGTGGACTGCCTAACTTTGAAAGTGACGTGCATATCTGTACAGCACAAACCAAATTGGAGCCAACCAATAGCTCTCCGAGTGTTTTCTAGTTGTCATTTCCTGGAGAAGCTCCCAGCACGTGCTGCAAAAAAAATCATACCTCGCGCTGAATGCCACACGGCACAACATAGAGACACGTCGGAGAGCTATGGTGCACAACTACATAAACCTACGCGGTAGAATGGAGCCCATGTTCATGGGCGTGGAGGGGGCACGTGCGTGGTGTGGAGCAGTGGTGACTTCAGCCTCGGCCACATCGTATGGCGCAACAACACCATCGACTAGAACGACATGCATCCAACCGCCACCACACGCTCAATTCACTACCGCAGGTCACCATGACCACACAGCTATCGCCACCACTACAAGTCTACCGCGCAATCAACCACTACCAGTCAACTTCAGTTGACCGTTACACTACCGGAGTCAACCACTACCGCGGTCGACAGACGCCGCAGAGTTGTTCACTACCTGTGCCGCGTGCCGCTCAGCACGCGGCACGCTCAGCACGCGGCACGCTCAGCACGCGGCACGCTCAGCACGCGGCACGCTCAGCACGCGGCGAGACCCACGGCGTTCCCCGACACCCGGAGCGCTGTGCGAGAGAAGTGACGTCCGTCCACTGCAGTACCAGGGCGCGGCGCAGTGCGGCGCTTGTTTTGACCATACTTCACCACGCTGGTACCAGAGCGGGTCTGTGAATGCGGGCGAGTGAAGGCTCGAGTTCCGTACAGTGCTGACACACACGCAATTTGCAGGTTAATTGAATGCAAGTACACCGTCGAAACTGATAGCAAGAGGAAATTATATACCGAGCCAGTGGTAGAAATTCTTCATTTCGAGGGCGGCGAGCGGTGACTCGCATATGACCACCGCTGTTGATTCGCCACAAAGTAGTGCACTGTTGACTTCATTCACACCGCACTGTAGTGTCACTGTACAATGCACGTAAGCCCAACCGTGCACGCGCAGACAGCGCTGTACACGCGTACCGTGCGAACATATCGTCAACAACATAACGTCAATAACACAACAACATAACGTCAATAACACAACAACATAACGTCAATAACACAACAACACAACGTCAATAACATAACGTCAATCACATAACGTCAATAACACAACATAACGTCAATAACATAACGTCAACAACATAACGTCAATAGCATAACGTCAACAACATAACGTCAATAACATAACGTCAACAACATAACGTCAATAGCATAACGTCAATAACACAACATAACGTCAATAACACAACAACATAACGTCAACAACATAACGTCAATAACATAACGTCAACAACATAACGTCAATAGCATAACGTCAATAACACAACATAACGTCAATAACATAACGTCAATAACATAACGTCAACAACATAACGTCAATAACATAACGTCAACAACATAACGTCAATAACGTCTTCATTCTGCTTCGCGGTTCACAGCATACAGAAGAAGTGCATCCGACAGCCACGACTCTACTGACGCCACCCCCCCACTCTCACCAACCCGCACTGAGCAGGCGAGGTGAAGTATGGTCAAGTTAATAAACCCCACGGGGTGTGCAGAGGCCCTCGTCCAGCAGTGGACGCGTGGAGCACAAAGAGGAGGGGGTATGGGAGAGGAGGAGGAGCGGGCGCGACTTGTCCATCACCTGCCCCTTCTGGTAGACGACGTCTCCCCGCGACACGGCCATGGACGATGGCGCGAGCGAGCGAGCCCGCAAAGAGGCCCCCCAGGAGCTTTGAAACCTCGCAAGAGAAGCGCGCGACTGAAGGTGGTGGTGGTTGTTGTTGGCGGCGGTGGTGGTGGTGAAGCCAAGCCGGCCGGTTCCCTTACGTAACGAACACAGCAGCAGCAGCAAGGAGACACGCTGCTTTAGCTGGGTGTTGTTTATCGGAGCTTATCGAAGGCCGCCTCTCTCGCTGCCTCCGAGTGAAGGGAGCGCGCGCCCCATGTGCGCCCTGAACGCCGCCACCGCAAACCTGCGACTCGCCGCCGGCGGCCATCTTACGCAAGGGAAGCGTCGCCCGCCGCTGTGAATGGGAAAGCCGGCGATGGGCGTCATCAACACGTCACCACTTCACCTCCCCCCTCACCCACGAAGAAACGGGACACGGGGATTGGGCCAAAGCGGGAAACTCTTCCCTGTGTAAGATGGCCGACAGGAACGCGTACACCGCGGCAGCGCTACGGACCCCGCCCCCTCCTCCCCGTCTCCCACTCCCCCGCCATTATCCTCCACGCTACCGCTATAGGCGCTGCGCGAGACGCCGCGTGATAAAAATGTTTTATTATTAATCAGGGCGCAACCTCTGTCTGTGACGTAACAAACATAATTGTTGGGGGCGGTGTCAGCTGACGTCACTGGCAGGTATCGAATTTCTAACCGCGTCACATCCGCGCGTCACATCCGCGCGTCACATCCGGCGATGACGTTGCAATCATCACAGGCTAAATACACGTGACGCTCGCACGTGACGCTCACACTCCAACTGGCTCCTCGCTGGCAACACGCGTGGTCAAGATGTTGCTGCTGCATGGGGTCAAGGCGTTTGTCATGTTGACCTTGATTCACATTACCGGATTGGTCGATTATAAAGGAGACAGTGCCAACTACCCGACCCCGACTCCATTGTGCACAAAGCCCTACATAGACCCGCTGCCATGCGTTGTGTCACGGCTGATGGGCATTGCGATAGTGATGATGGCTGTGATCCAGATATTCCTGTGGCGTCGTTGGAGCTGTAACCTATCCGACGCCGAGCGTTACAGCGCCATGCTGTGCGAGGACAACGTGAAGCTGCGTCAAAGAACAAGCACGGTGGAAGACGACAACGCCACCCTGAGGGTGAGGGAGGCGGCGACGCGTAAGGACAATGAGGCGTTGCGTCGAGAGATGCTGCTTCAGGAGAGGGCGATGGTGCTGCATCCACAGATGCTGCATGAGGAGAGCCGGCTCGTAGAGAAGGAGAATCAACGGCTGCGTCACGAGAACGAGAAGCTGATTCGCGCCGCAGCCGTCAACGTCAGCACCTCCACCAATGTCACGGACACTCCCAACGCCGCGAACGCCAACACCAACAACCCCATCACCACGACGCCAACACCGCCGCCACTAATGCCATTGCCAAGACGAATAAACTTTCATTTTTATGGCTCAGAAACCTCTTTCATTCAACTATTTCATTTTAAAAGTTAAAAAGCCCGAATTAAAACATCACAAAGGCAAAAGACAAAGAACCCCCGCATAGCCTTCACAGACTGTTTGGACAAGGGCTGTTAGCAAGGACGTATAACCTACACGACCGCTCCTCACACAAAGACAAAGATCCCCCGTTTTGCCTTAACAGACTGTAGGGGCAAGTGCTGTTAGCGAGCACCTATGAAGGCCGAAATGGTACACGAGTGGGTGGGTGGCCAGGACCACGCCCGACTGCCTTTGTCTCCCCAGTGGCGATGTTTACACCGCACCAGGTACTCATTTGAGGATGAGTCGACCTAGGGGAGGCCCGGGACCGGTTCAGATAATCGTCACTGGTGTTGGCCGTGAGCGGGAATTGAACCCGGGTCGCCAGGTTCATAGCGCAGCGCGCTAACAGCTACACTACTGCTCACACACACATGGACACACACACACGCAAGTGCCTGACTTACTAATGGGTTCTGTTCCTGAAGACCCTTCATAAGTCGAATGGTTCGTAAGTCGGGACGCGATAATTTACTGTATTTAAATGCACATACCTGTAAGTGTTATAAAATGTGTTATGGTTAAACAAAAAAAGGGAAGCATTGTTAGGCATAAAAATAACAATAATTGTACATTTGCCTGTAACACTGTAAAAAATATACTGTATGGGGAATACAACTCAAAATAAAGTTACGTGAAAATAAATGAATCCGATTTGTTTTCGTTCGCTTGAGTCTAGTCACGTGGTAACACTGGTGGTATTGTGAGTAATGTATCACGTGGTAACACTGTGGGGGTATTGTGAGTAATGTATCACGTGGTAACACTGGGGGTGTATTGTGAGTAATGTATCACGTGGTAACACTGTGGGGGTATTGTGAGTAATGCATAACGTGGTAACACCTTGGGGGTATTGTGAGTAATGCATCACGTATTAACACCGTGGGGGTATTGTGAGTAATGCATCACGTGGTAACACTGTGGGGGGCATTAACTCACTACTTATACCGTAAGGTCGATTTTGTCAATTCGGGAACGGAATGACATCGCGAGCTGAAAATAGTCGCGTTGACTTACAAATTCCAGACAGCATAAGCTGTGTAAATTTCATGACGCCAGAGCTCAGCGTTCGAGAGTTTTTGCTGCTTCACAAAGATGCATTTTCTGCTTTATAATTAAGATTCTTTGGGTCTTTCGGTAAAGCCACGTAGATAGGTTAAAAGAAAATAACCTAAACTACGACGTTTCGTTCGCAACACAAGCGATCGTCATCAGGAGGAATAAAATAGGGTGAAAGCTGCTGAGGCAGACTGTTTTAAAGGTTTAAAATGGGTGTAGCCCAAGGGTCATAAACGAAGTTGGCTGAGCTAGTGATGTTAATGTGAGAAGTTAGCATGTTAATGTCAGATCGCAGAGCCGCGTCCACGTTGAGGGCGGCGCGCGGAGGTGGCTGTGTTGGTGTGAAAAATTGTAACCTGTTAATGTAAAATCGGAGAAGCGAAGCCACGGGGAAAATAAAAACTAACATTGGAAGGTGGCAGGATGGGAACAGAGCCAGTTATGACTTAAACTGGTTGATAACGACTTTTGTCAATGACTGTGTACATCGTTTCCTCAAACTCGGATAACCAAATCTTGAACCTAAAGCTTTCGTGACTGCAGGAATTCATATTCATAAAACCACGTAGATAGAACAAATAATAAAAATAACAATATTTTAATGTTATATCTACGTGGCTTTACCGAAAGACCCAAATAATAGGATAACTAACCTTCAATTCAAGATTTAACTTCCGTAGAATGAACGGCACACGATGTTATGCACGCAAAATGTCGCAGCCTGGTTCACTGCGGTTGTGCATTACGTGGGATGCTGCGACTCATTACTGTACAATCTAGATTTGAAGCAGTTGTTTCTTGCTGTGGTTGTTCCACCTGATGACGGACACTTGTGTTGAGCCCGAAACGTCGTGATTTAAGTTATTTTATACCTACGTGGCTTGACCGAAAGAACCAAAAAGAGCCATTACTGTACATGGCTGAGCCTTCAGTGCATCGCAAGTTGTTACTGGCCAGCATGACAAATGAGTTAAATAACCTCCACAATTCGTACAGCGTGGGCTCTAGACGGACATTAACTTAACACCAGTTCAACTTCCACTGGGTGAGGCTGGGGATGATTTCACAGGAAACGTGACACGAGATACAGCAACAAGTTGGCATGGGTATAAAAGTAACTTTATTTTCATTGTTGTTGTCATGGACAGAAACAAAAGACTTCCATAATTTCACTTGTTTCATAATTTCAGGTAAATGCGTAATTTAAAAAAAGACGAAATACACTGTAGAGCATGCACTAAAAAACTCCGCTGGAAAACCTCGAATTCGCAAATACTGTGCTGCGACACGCGAGGGTGCCGAGCCGACCCCAACACCGGCGCTCCCCAGCACGCGCTTCACAGTTTTAATCCCGGCCCAGGTGCTCCTCTTTTGTTTTCCTTCACCACGTGACAAAGGCAGCAGTGGGAAGTCAGCCAACTTTCAGTGTGAGAGCCGTCCACTCTGGAGGTGGTTTACGTAGGGATGTTCATCACCCACAGGATGCGTTATTGTGCAGTGTAACCCAGAGGAGATGTGTGAACACCCAGACGTAGTCAAACTACTGCACGTGTTTCGATGACGGGCTCTCCTCACGACATCACGACTCTCAGCATCCATGCATGGGAACCACACGGCACGGGGAAAGCACCAGACGTGAGGGACATGGGGTGACCAAGTGTGGAGAGGGGTACATGGGGGTGAAGAGGAGGTACATAGTGGAAGAGGGGAGGGGGGGGGGGACAGGGGGTCTAGTGGCATTGCCCTGCATGACCTAACCCCCCCCTCACCGCAGCCACACAAGATGCGTTCCCTGAAACCATTATTTATTTTAGCGCCAATGCAACACTGCAAGAGAGTGGACTGCCTAACTTTGAAAGTGACGTGCATATCTGTACAGCACAAACCAAATTGGAGCCAACCAATAGCTCTCCGAGTGTTTTCTAGTTGTCATTTCCTGGAGAAGCTCCCAGCACGTGCTGCAAAAAAAATCATACCTCGCGCTGAATGCCACACGGCACAACATAGAGACACGTCGGAGAGCTATGGTGCACAACTACATAAACCTACGCGGTAGAATGGAGCCCATGTTCATGGGCGTGGAGGGGGCACGTGCGTGGCGTGGAGCAGTGGTGACTTCAGCCTCGGCCACATCGTATGGCGCAACAACACCATCGACTAGAACGACATGCATCCAACCGCCACCACACGCTCAATTCACTACCGCAGGTCACCATGACCACACAGCTATCGCCACCACTACAAGTCTACCGCGCAATCAACCACTACCAGTCAACTTCAGTTGACCGTTACACTACCGGAGTCGACCACTACCGCGGTCGACAGACGCCGCAGAGTTGTTCACTACCTGTCAACCACCGTCGCGGTCGACCACTACTTGACTGACAATGCAGACTAACAGCTCCCGCTGTTAACCAATACTGCAGTCTACCACTGCAGCCGATTGGTTACGCCGCAGTTGATCCCGACCACACAGTCGACCACTCCTACTCACTAAACACTGCACAGTTGACGCTGCCGGAATGCTCAACCGTGTGGTGTTGGTTAACTGTAGCAGTGGTCAACTGTGCAGTGTTGGTTGACAGTCGACTGTTCCCCTGTCAATCAACACTGCAGTTGACCGCTCCGGCACAGCCGACCTAATCTTGACCCAAGAATCGCCACGAGAAGGGCTCCTTATGGAATGAAGGCCCCGACATAAAAACACTGCTCCTCCTTACCAATGTAAATTTGTGTGTTTTTTATTTGTTCAAATTGTAAAAGCATCAAGAGGGGAAATATAAACAAAAAAATGAATGTGGTTTGTTTTTCAGAAACCTCCCTGTCACGTTTTGTGTGTTGGTTGGTAAATCCTCTAACAAAGCAGAAAACAATCTAATGATCTTTCACACTACAAATCTCTAGTAAAATGCTACACTGGCATGAGGCTATGAAATCGACTAACCTAAAACACGTTCTCTACCATAGAAAAAAAATTGTGAGCTGCCAGAGGGGAGTTCTCCTCTCTGCAAAGCCGGACTCACATCACCACGCACTGCCGGTCGCTCGCCTGAGGATCGCCCTGGACCAGACACACGGAGATGGAGCACACAAGGGTCAGGAAACACGAGTGTGGGCGAGTGTACGTGGGCATGCCGGTGAGTGCATGTAGAAGTGCATATGTATGTGCAAGAAGGCAAGTTGGTAATAAAAGTGTATCTGGGTGTGTGGGAATATGGGTGATGTGTGTGTGGGTTTCTGTTGGTGTATGCATGGGCACGCATGTGCATGAGTGTATGAGTGTGCAAGCATGTTCGGCGAACATGTGTGTGTAGTGGCGAGTGTGTGTGTAAGTGTGGTGTGCGCATGTGCAGGCATGTGGGTGAATGTGTGGGTATATGGGCATGTGGGGGAATAGTGGAACGGTTAGTGCGCTGCGCTACAAACTCAGCAACCAGAGTTCGATTCCCGCTCATGGCAAACACCAGTGACGATTATCTGAATCGTTCCTGGGCCTCCCCTAGGTTGACTCGGCTTCAAATAAGTACCTGGTACGGTGTGTAAACATCACCACTGGGGGAGACAAAGGCCGGGTGTGGTACTGGCCACCCACCCCCTCGTGTGCTGTGTTGGCCTTCATAAGTGCTTGCTGACAGAATTTGCCACGAAAGTCTGTTAAGGGTATACGGGGGATCTTTTCTCTTTGTATACGAGCATGTGAATGCAAATGTGTAAGTGAGAGAGTATAAAGGTGTGTGTACGTACACGTGGGTGCCTGTAGATGCCTGTAGATGAGAGAGTAAATAAGTGCGAGAGCAGAGGTCTAGGGAATTTTAAAAAGGACCTACATCTCTGCTTTATTGATCTGAGGCTGACCGATGCCTATTGGTCCACCATGTTACGTATATAAGTGATATGGTAACTGCTGCTTACTCTGAGGAGTTGGAAATGAACTACTGCAGCATGCCACTAAGAGGTGGGACCTGACCATCAGCCCAACGAAAAAAAAAGCAACCTGTCTGGGTATTTTAGGTCATTAAACCCTCCACCCCCTCAACTCCCCATGAGTGATGAGGCAGTTTTGGAGAGAGTGAATACGTTTGCGTACCTGGGCAGTGTACTCAAGACAACCTCCAGTTTGGCAGCGGAGGCCTCACTATCGTTTCACCAGCTGTGTAACACTGCGTGGAAGCTACCTGGCCTATCCCTCCATGCGAAGCTCCGAGTCTTCTCGGCCACAGTAATGTCCTCCCATCTCTATGATTGTGAAATGCGGAGCCCATTAAAGGAACATCTGCACCGGTTTTGAAACATGCCTATGATCCATCCTGAGTTTAACCAGACTGGATTGTGTGAGGAGCTCACAGACTCTTGAAAGATCTTGACATAACCCCATTAGTGAGCTCCTTTGGCAGCCACCACATGCCCAAGCAGCTTCTAAATAAAGACTCTGACTCTGTTTAGTCGGATAGAGGGGGCTAAGAGGGCACAGCATGGGTTAGGGAAGAGATGGGCTGATGTGGTACAGGAGGATGTGGACTGGTACCAGCGGTGTTAAGATCGGCCTTAGTGGAGGAAGCCCGTAAAGGACGCTTACTGGACAATTGGAGGCAGTTGCCCTCCAACAACAACAGAGTGCAGAGGGGTGCACCCACAACACTGCATTTTAGACAGCTGACACACAGTGAGGTGGCACAGTGGGAGCGCAGATAGCGCATATGTTAGTCAGTCAACTCATAACACCTGGGTCTGTCCCGTGACCTCCTGCCAGCGAGCCTTTGACACTTCACGTGGCCTCAGGGTGCACCTGGCCTGGTACAGGCGTTGTGGTGACATCACCGCCACTTAGTGGCAAACGACAGTTGTCGTTGTTATTGTACAAGTGTGTGTGTGCAGGCATGGAGGTGAGCGTGGGAGTGTTGTCCATCACGCACCTGCTGGTGGAAAAGCTCCTCCTCTCCCAGCTCTGCCTCATCCTCGTCGTCCTCGCCATCTCCCCCCAGCGCGGTGTCGGTGAGCACGCGACTCAAGTTCCTCACCGCCACCTCCTGCTCGCACATCCAGCACAAAGACCCCCCCCCCCCCCCCATATCATGTTAAGAGACTGTAGGAGCAAGTGCTGTTAGCGTGTAGCACCTATGAAGCTATGAAGGCCAGCACTGTGGCATACTAGGGGGTGGGTGGCCAGCACCACACCCAGCCGCATTTGTCTCCTCAGTGGTGATGTTTTCACATCGCACCAGGTACTCATTTGAGGCTGAGACGACCTAGGGGAGGAGGCCCAGGACCAATTCAGATAATTGTCACTGGTGTCAGCCGTGAGCGGGAATCAAACTCGGGCCGCCAGGTTTGTAGCACAGCGCGCTAACCGCTCTCCATCCAGCACAAAGCCAGCAGTCACAACCACTCAGGGACAGACTCATTCACCTACCCAGACTTGTTACACACACACAGCCAGATTCACTACATTCACCCATCCGCACTCACCACACTCACCCAATTACAATGGCCACTCACCTACCCCGACTCATCACACTGACCCAAATTGCACTCACCGCACATTCACCCACGCAGGCTCACAAAACCCTCACCTGGCCGGATGAGTCATAAAGGCTGGTGAAGATCTGGTCTCCCGAGCCCCAGGTTGCCTGGCTCTTCCACAGCAAGTCCGTGGGCGGGTTGTGAGCCACGTGGGAGTCTGATGCCCACACCTGCCAGCCACAGCCACAACAGAAACTCCATCACCAATGACACAGGGGAACAACACCACGACAACCACAACCACCACCCTGCCCTTAACAGAGTGTTGGGGCAAGTACTGTTAGTGAGCACCTATGAAGGCTAGGATGGCATACGAGGTGGTCGGAGGCCAACACCATGCTCGGCTGCTTTTGTCTCCCCAGTGCTGATTTTACACCCCGCACAAAGTACTGTACTAATTTAAGGCTGAGTCAACCTCGAGGAGGCCCAGACCTGGCTCAGATAATCGTCACTGTCATTGGTCATGAGTGGGAATTGAACTCGGGTTGCTGGGTTTGTAGCGCAGTTTGCTAACCATGACACTACCAATCCCCCACAATGACAACAACCGCCGTCTCCCAATAAGTGACATCACCATGGTAATTGTGCCAAGTTAAGCGCACCTTAAGGCCATATGAATTGTCGAAGGATCATCGGCAGATGACGGGACAGATCCAGGTGCCAGGAGTTGACTGACCGAGATCACTGACAGATGCACCACCTATGTTCCCCACTGTGCCAACTTTCTGCCTGACGCCCCACTCATTGTGTTACTCTTCTGCCCTTCGTTGTTGTTGGAGGAAACTGCCTCCAACTGCCCAGTAGTGTCCTTCATGGGCCTCATCACAAAGGCCAATCTAGACACGTCTAGTACCAGTCATCGGCAAGTCCACTCAGCACCACATCCTGTTCCATATCAATCCATCTCTTCTCTACCCCTTGCGCCGTGCCCATTTAGCTCCTTCTATCCGGTCAAACCGAAGTTGCTCCCCACCACCACCACCACCTCTGTCTAAAAAACCACAATGGCCAAGCACCAGCACCATTACTACAATCACTTCAACCTCCCTCGATCACCAATGTCGCAAGGGCTCAAACACAACACTACCACCACCCTTCATCACTATTACCACCAACTGCTCCCTTCATCACCATCCACAGTGTGATTGATCTTGGTCACGGCCGTCATTTAGGCCAGTAGCACTGTAGTAGATAACACTGAAATGTGAAGACAACATCTTCATGCCCTGGTGAAGCACTGGAGGTGGTATGATTGCTAGTTCCAACAATGGTGAACTGTTTGTAAGGGCTTCGGTTATTATGGTGATGGTGACAGCTACTTATTACGGTTGTGTTATTTTTATTGTCCTACGGTTGGCTACATACGGCGCAAAAGAAGTTCAACGTACATACATAAGGGTTAAGGCCAGTGGCAGCACAATTGGCATGTTGGCTGCTTGGTTAGGGCTTGGGGATATGACTTATGGCTGGTTGGCCAGTTGATTACGGTAAATAGATACGACTGGTGCAAATGGTTTGGCGACTGCTTAGTTAGGATTAGACCTTGGGGATAGTTCTTGTGGCTGGATGGTTCGTGTTGTGGCACTTCACGAGCTACACTGCGTCGACGGCACCCGCACAGCGGTGCGTCTCTGTCCTGCGCCTTCCCCTCACCGTGACCGTGGCATTGGCCTTGAGGACAAATCGCGACGTGAACTTGTAAGAGATCTCGTCCTGCTCCCCCACCTTCCTCTTCAGCACCCACGCTCCCAGCGGCTGGTCCTAGTACACACACAGCACGCGTGTACTCACCCCCACACATGTACTCACTCGACAAGGCACACGTGTAAAAGTTGCAACGATGGCGAGTGCAGTGTTAGTCACGATTGCACTAATTATAATAATGGTCAATTATTAGTAAGGGTTTTGGTTATTATTGTGATAACAGCTATTTATTATGGTTAAAGCGAGTGCTTTTTATTACGTTGAGTGTGAACGCTGTTAATATTTTTGTGACGATGGCGAGTGATGGCAGCAAGTGGCGAGTGTGGTTTTGTTGAGAACGAGTGCTGTATTAACGATGAAGGCGAGTGCTCATTAACAAGAGTGTGATGCCATTGATGAAGAAGACTGTTGCATTGTTGCAATAGTGTTGGGTGTTGAGAGAGTGATGCTGCCGATGGAAGGCGAGCGTTCAAGGTGTCATGATGGTAACGATGGCGAGTTAAGCAGCGTGATTACGACGATGGCGAATATAACGGCGGCGAGCGTGTGTGCGTGCCCCGGGCCTCACCTGGGCCGAGGTGTTGCGGAGTCTCATGAAGCGGCCCTCTTGGTCAGCCTCGTCGATGGCCACGGGCCCCGAGGCGTGTGCGTGCTGGCTCACGCTGCTCGAGCTGCTTGCCTCGCGCTCCTCCACCTCCACGCGCTTGCGCTTCCCCCTCCCCGTGCGCACGCTGCTGCTGCGCGACGCCGACATGCGTGACACCGTGACCCGCGACGCCGGGCTTGGTGACAGCTTCAGCCTGCACGCAGTCACCACGGAGACACCACAGGGTTACCATAGAGACAGTACATTGACATCATGGAGACACCGTGACCCGTGACGCCGGGCTCGGAGACAGCTTCAACCTGCAAGCCATTACCACGGCAACACTACATAGTAACCATGAGCAATCATGACTTTACAACAGAGACACCACACCATTATCATAGCGACACCACGATGTTACCAGACACCATGGCAAAACCACGACATTACACTTGTACGTCAGTCCCATGCTGATATTTTTTTATACTTTTACAGATTCTGCAGTTTTGTAAGAATTAAGATCATGCAAGTACGGGACACAGAAAAAATACTGAATTAAGAAAAATTGTCAAATCATGGAGAGGGTGAATAATTACATCTCTATTGTAAACAGATCACCTGACTGCCAACCCATCACGTGACCTCACACGGCTGTCATGTGACTTCACTCTCAAATAGATACCACATCCTACCATAGGAACCAATATAATCATGTAACACCCATCAACTGATCCCACAAACTGGTCACGAAGCTACATTTGAATCCTGGATACGCGTTTGTATTTAGATGCCACGTAATTTATTATCATTATTATTATTATGTACACGCATACATGCGTGTACATTAACACGTTGGAATCAATTGAGACAACAGATTCCTTATAGCAAGAGAGATGTGGGAACAAGGGAGACATTAAAAGAGGGCGCGGAGCACAGGCAGCGTCAGCAGCTGTCATATTCACAGCTAACATTGTGTATCCATTAAGAGAACAAACTGGGCTCATTTGATAGCCTCTAACGGTGTGCAGTGATTACTGCAGTTTGTATAGTAGCATTCATTCGCCACTCTGTGGTGGTGCCTCTGCATCTACAGTGCACATTTAAAAAAAGAAAGTAGCAGGTAAATTGTATGCTCTAATGAGCTTTGAGGCAGTGCTCACTTCCTGTTTACAGCAGGGGAGAAAATTCTACATTCTCATGGTGGGGGCAAGTCTTTGCATAGGACAACCACTTGACTCCCCCACAATGTGGTACTCATTCTTATGGCCCCAGAGGGATGATGGGCTCAATCAACCAGTATTTGAACTCTCAACCCTTCCGATTCTGAGCTGCTTGCACTATTGCTGAACTAACTGGCCGGACAAAAAGCAAAAATTGTATTGAGTTGGTCAACGATGAAGATGATTATTTGATCCATAAAGGGGTTTTTTTGGGTTAGATCACGTAAATATAAATGTGTGATTAAACCCACCACAACCTGACGCAGCTGAATTTGTAACAGCTGCTTGCACTATTGCTGAACTAACTGGCCGGACAAAAAGCAAAAATTGTATTGAGTTGGTCAACGATGAAGATGATTATTTGATCCATAAAGGGGTTTTTTTGGGTTAGATCACGTAAATATAAATGTGTGATTAAACCCACCACAACCCGACGCAGCTGAATTTGTAACAAATTCGCACATTTCGTTTACGTGACAAACCTTACTAATTGGCTGTGTCAGGTTGTGGCGGGTTTAACGACAGATTTATATTTATGCGATCTAACCCAAAAATATTTTATTATGGATCATTTTGGTTGTAAAAGCTTATGCGTCAAAATTATAATTGAACTGTAACCCTGGTGTGAGCGATTCCCGTGTGTGTGGGTTGTAAAATGTTCATTTTCGATTATTAGACGGGGGGCAAGAAGCCACACCTCTCCTCCTCGCCCTCCAGCAGCTTGCGGTAGGCGGAGATCTCCATGTCGAGCGCCAGCTTCACGTCTAACAGCTCCTCGTACTCGTTGAGCTGCGCCTGCATCTGCTCGCGAAGCTCCGACATCTCGCGCTCACGCTCGGCCAGCGCACGCCGGTGGGAGTCACGTTCGTGGGCCAGGCTGTCCTCCAGATCCCGCACGCGCGACTCCAGCACAGAGGTCTGCATTGCGGTGGCACACACGCGGGCGCACGCGCAAAACGTGTGTTATTAGCACGCACGCCTTGGTTACCATGCCCACTCACTCGCTTTACCTGTCGAGGCATGGCGCTAGCGGTAGACTTGGGGTCAATGACAATTGGCATCGTGCGATTTGTAATGAATTGCAATGTCGTTGTAATTTCAGCTAACAATGCTGTTATATCTGTAATTAGAATCGACCCCTTGTCTATCGGCCTGTGTGTGCATATTAGGTGCGATAGCGAAGCCGTTAGCGCATGGCACTATGTACCCAGGGGCCTGAATTTGATTTCAGCTCGTGGTCAATATCACCGATTTTTATCCAAACCGGTCCTGAGTCTCACCTAGGTCACCTCAGACTTAAACAAGTACCTGGTGCAGTGTATAAACATCAGAACTGAGGCGATAAAGGTGGCCAGGTGTGGTTGCTGGTCATGCCATCCCCTCGTACACCGTTCCGCCCTTCATGGGCACTTGCCCCAAAAGCCTGTGTAGATTACACGGGGGATCTTTCAGTGCGTGTGTGTGTATATAAAAGTGTATATTGTGTGTGTGTGAGCACCTGTTTCTGTGCGTTGTTGAGTTGGCTCGTGAGAGTCTCCACACGGAGGGTCATCTCCGAGAGCTCCTCGCGTGCCCGGTTGGCACTGGAGCTGTTCTTCTCGGATGCTAAGCGTGCATTGTCAATCTGCACACACAGACACACACAGACAGTGAGACCATTTACAATAATTCACAGGACAAGCACATAACCAGGAGGTGCAGGGAAGGACAACAAACTTAAACAAGTGTAGTTTGTTGGTGGTCTCAAACATGGCACCAATAATTAGTAAAAAAAAATCCCTGAAAACATGTTTTTGCTTAAGTTGACTATATATTATAGATATATTGCAGCTATCAGACACTATTCTAAAGGCATCACTCTACCGCTCACAGGTGAGGCCATGCACCATAATGAGACCATGCAGGTCAGGCCGTGAAAACACAAATGACGCCGCTGCCCACAGCCCCTCACACCTTGGCACGGAAGTTGGTCTCCAGCTCTTGCTTGTAAGCGTTCACTTGATCGCCGTGCGCCTGCCTCAATTCCAGCAGCGCCTGTCCCAGCTTGCTCTCGTACTCCCGCTGGCGCCCCGAGTCCACCTCCACCATGCGCGTCTCGTGCTTCTTCCGCGTCTCGCGCACCTCCTGCGGCGGCACGGGGGCGCGCCACGAGCGTCACGGGGGCAAGGAGGGGAACTCCACCAACACGCTGCCGATATGCAACGACCGAAAACTTTCTTCTTCAGATTATTATTATCCTGTCGATTATCAAATTACTTTTCCAAAAGCACCTGCACAACATGCTCTCTCATCTTGCTCGTCTATTTTTACATTTTGATGGGTCCACCTTCCAAGAACAAACATGCAAAATGACAATGATGTTTCATCAATTACAACTGAAACAAGTAAAGCAGCATTCTATTTGGCTAAAAACTTGATTCGCCGATAAAAAAAATCTTGGCAGGATAATAATCTACGTACTCGTTTCTGCCTTAACAATTTTGTTGACTTGCACGAAACAGCATGAGCATAAGAGGGGGGGGGGGGCACAGGGAGAGTTGGAGCACACGCCGAGGGAGCGCACCTCCTCAAAGACGCTCTTGCGGAACTCTAGTTCCTCCTTGAGGCTCTGCGCGCGATTCTCCAGGTCTACACGCTGCAGGGTCTCCTCAGCCAGCTGCTTCTTGGTGGAGGCAAGGACTCCCTCCATCTGCACAGACGCACAACAAAGACCCACCATATAGCCTTGACAGACTTGCGGCAAGTGCTATTAGCGAGTAGCACCTATGAAGGCCGGCAAGGCACAGGAGGGGGTCGGTGGCCAGCACCATGCCCGCCCGTGTCACCCATGTGGAGATGTTTACACACCACAAAGGTGCACACACGCAGGCGTGCAACCCTTTCCCCTATCTCGCCATCACCATACTATTGCCATGCTTTCAGGGTCACAATTTAAGAACCGATTAGTTTACATTCTCGGTTTTCTGGTTTTAGTTCTCAATTTTTTGCTGTCTCATTTGTGCCGTTTTTTTGTTTGCAAAAGCCTTAATGTAATATTAGCATGCATCATGCAAATGCAATTCTGATTCAGGAAAAAAAACATTTTCAAAAGTGCACGCATCATGCGCAAAAGGAATTGATATCAATCTTTAAATCAACGTAGTGTTATATGCTTAATGTTTGGATATTACCCAGCACTTTGTAGGCAAAGGTTGATAGGGATCACAGATTTAAAATCACTAACCTGCTAGCCTGAGGTGGAAAAAAAGCAGGACAGCAAGTGGGTTTAAGCAGCCACTTATGTGTTATCTGCTCCTTCTCTATGGCTGTTAATGGGCCCTCAAATTTCTTCCCACAAGCGACACTCTCATTAGAAAAAGATTCACAGGGCAGGATCTTCCTTAAAAAGGCTTAAGACTATAGGGAAGCTTTTCTGGATTAATAAATGATATTATTTTACAGACGTCTATATAGTATGTCACATATGCAACTTGGTGGGGCCTGAGACACATTTATATAGTGTATGAGTGTTACACCATTCACAAATACTGCATTGAGTGTGGGCGGGTTAATTGATCAGGGTAGAAATGCGTGATGTTGTAAATTGTCAATGGCCAGATGTCTCAGCGGCACAGTGAGCGACTCACAATCGGAAGGTTGCGAGTTCTGATCCTGGTTGGGTGTGGATTCAGCCCATCATTCCTCTGGGGTGAGTAAAAGTGACCACTTTGTGGGGAAGTCAATAGTGATTGTTCTATGGATAGATGTGCCTCCATCATGGGAATTTGGAATTTCCACCAGTGGCTCAAGAGTTGTGAACTGGAGTTAAACACCAATGCCTCAAAACTCATGAGCAGGAAAACGCTTTGAACTATCAACTTTAACTGCTTCAAGGCAACACAGCTATAATTCCACAATTGTGTAATCACCAGCAATCAAACAACGGACACTGCACTGCATTCCCAGATGTGAAGGCCGTAGCAGCTGCATTAACACCCACTGTATTTCCCTCATCAACCAAAATGCCCTCCATCCTGGAATCTCAGCATCCAGCTTAAACCTCGGCTCTAACGTCATTTCATTTCCTACGAAAACCCAGTCCCCCCTGCCCCCCCCGAATGACCCCGTGAGGTTTTACAGACACTGCCCACAACCCCTTTTGGCTAACGCCTCCCGTGTGGCTGGGTCTGGTTACATCTGGAACGACTGGAATTTTTGGGGTTTTTTCTCATTTCCTGCCAGTGTTGTCACTGCAGCAGCCCTGCCGGGCCCAGTTAGGACCCACCTTGGCGAGCTGGGCTTTGATCTCATTGAACTCGGACTGCAAGCTCTTATTGTCAGACAGCGCGGACCCCAGCGCCACCTCCTTGGCCCCAAGCTGCGCGTCCAGGTCACGAGCCCGAGCTTGAACAGTCGCGAAATCATGCTCACGCTTTGATAGCCTGAAGGATCACACGCCACACAACATGCACATCATGCACACCGCCAACCCGACACACACCACCACACCACGCACGATACACAACCCCCACCATTACACCGCACGTACAATAAGTACAAAACACACTGCGAACCATTAATGACCACCTCCACACCGTACTGGATATACATCCACCACCTTATACACACACTACAGTACCACACCACATACACTGCCTACACACATACACCAACTAACACATACAACACACCACATCCATATGCCATCATCACGTATACACACCACACACCATGCAGAGCTCCATACATTGAACACACACCATGAAACACATACTCAAGACAAACAAATCACACACATCCTGTTCAGCACACAGTTTACCATATACAAACCACACAAACCCTGAACACCATTCAAATTACATCAAATATACAACACACACAACATGCATGCACCACTCTTTCCCCATGTAGAAATGTGAATGACCTGTGGGGTCTGCTGCTCTGCATAAGACATGAAGATGGGATGATGTCACAAGCTGTAACTATAAGCAAAGTGGGTGCAGCTGGGAAACTAACCCAGGCACATTGAGCTATAGCTCAGTGGTCAATTGCATAACGGTTCCTTAAATGAAATTTCCCCTTTTCACAAAATTCGTAATGATTTGCAAGGCAAACTTAGGAGAAATATTCCTTAAAATGGTTAATGCAACCGATCACAGAACTAAATCAACGACTCGGTACCCAGCAACTGCCATGAAAACCCAAAACAAAACAAATACGAATTTGTTTGTGCTGCTCGCCTGGGTTTCACTCTGCGGTACAGAGTTCCCGGCGAGTCTGAGTCACGTCCAGGTACCACAGCCACACCCAGGCACGAGGGCTCACCCTGTGCGAGTGGCAGCAGACACAACATGGACACGGTGCCGGGCAGGAGCACGAGCTCAAAGGGACTCAACGAGACTACAGCGACTCAACACAACAGAAACTTGCACAGGTGGATCTTTCACAATGAAACACTCCTCCACAATTCATACCGCGTCTCTGACGATGACGCACACAACTCCCTAATCAGGGCATATTTACGAATGCGTATGTGGAAGCCGGGTGGGGTAATGGGGAAGATTGTGGCTCTGTGGTCAGTTAACTTCCGTTAGCGCGTACGGCGGAGACCAGAGCAGGATGCTTATTCACACCACAGCCGCCTATCGCTCACACCGCACGCTTGGAAAAAACCAAAAAGGGCGCGGTTCATTGCTCAAACTGCACAGGAGCTTTCGAGGAATAGAATACAACGTTTTTTAAGGTAGAGAGAGTTTGCTGCAGCCAACAGCAAGACAAATTATCAATAAATTAGGAAGTTAAAACTTTCAGCCTGCTTTGTGAAGCGAGCCAACGGTTTGGCATGGCGGCGCAGTCAGGCAGAACGGATGGGGGCAGTGGAAGGGAGGGAAAACCCCGCACGGGCACGCCCTGTTGAAGGCAGCACCCCACCCCCCACTCGCCTCCAGGCGACTTTCAAAACTGACCAATCACAGCGAGCCGTACTCTGGGCTCATTTGTTAGAGATACAACAACCAACAAAGCTATCGTGGCAAGAGAGGCCGCTTCTTCTAGCACACGGCCAGTGCAGCACATTCTTGACATAGCTCGCATTGCCAGCACCAAGCAGCCAAGCACCCAGTGTGTATGTTCCTGGAGAACCCACCAAAGCTGCACTTATGACATTCGCAACGGGTACTTAAATTACACAAGCCACAAACAATGTATAAAGGTCCCTCATTTGGCCTCACTAACTGAATAAGTGTTGTCAGAGAGCACCTATTAAGGCTAGCATGACACAGGCAAGAGACCATGCCGTTTTTCTACCCATTACCAAAATGTAGACATTATACTCCCTTCTCATTTTATGCCATGTCCTATTAACTATTTATTATTTACTAGGTAAGGCCCACTGAACTATTATAGCTCTTTTTCAGAAGCGACCTGGTCACAAATGACAGCTCAAGTGGCTTATCATGTGGAAATTTAAAGCAGAAAATGTTAACTATAAATGTGGATGGACCCGGAGAAAAATCCATACAACCTAAGGAAAAACATGCAAACTCCAAATATACAGCAAGAGTCAGGGTCTGGATCGAACCCATGACCTCCTGTATACCAGGTGAGGGGAGTTAACATCTAGCCATTATGGCGCCCATGTCCGCTTAGAAGACACCCAAGACAGGTTCAAATACCACTTTCGTGTTTGGCAAGGAAACGAAACTGGGATCGTAAAGCAGCGGGTTGAGACATTATGCAACCAAACGCACTATTGAATATGTAGTCAATACAAAGTCCAGCAACGGGGGAGGGGGGTTGTGCTTCAGGAATATAGCTGCCAAAGACGAAACGCTGGGGCTGTAAAATGTGTGGCTCCACCACCTCACACACATGCGCACTCTATCTTACTGTCTCCCATCACTGCCATGTTCAACACTCTCACGCTCTCCCTCACAAACATGGAGGTGCAGAGGAAGCCATTGGCACAAATCAGGTGACGATAACTAAGCTTTGGAAGTCCAAGACATGGGGAAAACACAGCCCCCGCCTGGCTCCCCATAAGCTCCTTTACAGGCTCAGTGCAGACTGGACTAATGAGTGACGCCCCACAGGTGGCGAGGTCAACAGCTGCTGCGCTCGCCCCACAAAGCGTTGCCTATGGCTGCATTAGCGCAGCTGTTCCACCCCTCGACAGCAAAACTATCGCTGACAGCCCACAACCGCACCGCATGGATGCACCCACGCCCCAGGTGTCATGGCCTGGTGTTGGGGGTACTGCATATTCCATCACCTGCCTGCTCGCTCCTCCTGCACACGTGTCGGCCGTCAGTCACAAATCCCCATAAAAAACTACCCGCCAACATTGGAAAGACAAACACGCGCGTGTGGACGGGGGGGGGAGTTCCATCTCCCGCACCAAACTTGGACAGAGCTGCTTTGTCTTGAGGTTCTGGTATTTTTATTTCGGTCTCTTTTCTCGTGCTTGATTGGCACGAAGTTGTTTTGTCACCAAGAGGCCCCAAGCCGTATCCCTGAGCTTTATGGGTTTCCACTGGATCACACAGCACAATACCTCCCAACGCTACGGCCACCCTTCACGCGTGGACAGAGGTGCGATCTCGTAGAATTGCTCGGGACGTACCGAGAAAGCTACGCCGCTCTGTAGCCCGAGCACTACCTACAACAACTGCTGCTATATCATGGGACCTCCTTTGCCAGTACTAAAATATGAGAATAGGTTTTCCCCTTTTTTCTGGCAACAAAACAGCTGTTGAGATGTTAAAACACCAAACTGAAACCTTTTACAAGGAATCATGTCTGCATTAACCACAATACTTGTGGTCAGAATGCAAACAAAAAACGTTGATAATATATGCATCGTCTTTGAAACTGATTGGTCTACACCAGAGACAGCTGTCTTTTGAGCCGAGTCTCAAAACAGTGTTAGGTCAGAGGACGCTGTACGCCTTTTGGCGGCGTCCTCTGGTCTAACACCATTTTGAGACTAGGCTCAAAAGAAAGCTGTCTGGTGTGGACCAATCAATTTCAAATACAATGCATACATTACTCTTTGGTTCATTCGGTAAAGTCACGTAGGTAGAAAAAATATATCACGACGTTTCGATTGCCACACAAGCAATCGTCTTTAGGTTCTAACAGTTGTGTGAAAACTCTCCTCGAAGAGGCGGTTCAATCTTTACCGAAAGAAGCAAAGAGTATGGATTCATGAAAGCCTCAAATCAAGATTGAACCGCCTCTACAGGGAGGGTTTTCACACAGCTGTTAGAACCTGAAGACGATTGCTTCTGTGGCAATCGAAACGTCGCGATCTATTATTTTTTCTACCTACGTGACTTTACCGAAAGAGTACGGATTCCTGCAGTCACGAAAGCCTCAAATCAAGATTGAATGCATTTATTACAAGAGTATGTTTTTGTTTGCATTCTGACCACAAGTATTGTGGTTAATGCAGACATAATTCCTTGTAAAAGGTTTCAGTTTGGTGTGGGAAAACCAACGGTGTTATATAACCTGACACCTGACGCATCAACTTTACGTGACTCGGACAAACCCATGTAAGTGGGAAACAAGTCACAGGTAGCAATAGCCCTCGGGCACCAGCCGCACGTGAGAACCGAAAGCACGCAGACATAAACCGCAAATTGTGCGCACGCGCCAGTGCGTGCCGGCACCTGGGGCACTCCTCTCAACACACTCCGTGCACTGCGGATCTGAGCAGCCGTAATCCCACCAGTGCAGCACGCACTATCGTCAGCTGCTCTGTGAGGCCCGTGTGGTGGATACATCTACAAGGGCGGTGCGTGATGTAATACGGTGCGGCGCGGTATGTATGGTGATGTGGCGTGATGAAGCGTGTTGCGCAGCGTTGGCTTACGGTACAAAGTAACACGTGTAGTATGTCGTACCATGGTATGTTGTATTGCAGTGTGTGGTCTATCGTGGTGTAACAGAGTGTTATATAGTGTGGATTGTGCGATGTATCCTGTTGTCCCAGTGTGCTGTGCCAGTGTCGTGTGATGTATCATGTACGATGGTGATCTATTGTGGTGTACTGTGACGTATTGTGTACTGTCGCTCGGTGGCACGCAACACGGTATATTTCTAATGTACCGTATCATCTATCGTGCCGTGCCGGTGTGCTGGCGCACTCACGTGGCGTGCAAGTCCTCGTATTCGGCGCGGTACTTCCCAGCCTCGATCTGCAGGCGAGCACGCTCCCGCGCCGTGTCGTCCAGCAGCGCACGCGCGTCGGCAAGCTCCTGCTCGTAGGCGGAGCGCACGCCGCTCACCTCACGCGTGACCACTTGCTCGCTCTGCGACACTTGCATCAGCAAGCGGCTGTTCTCCTGCTCCAGCGAACGAACCTGAGCAAGACGCGACACCTTCGTTTACGACCAAACAACAGCAGCATACGTTCCTACGGTGTATAAATACAACCGTATCTCTACCTCTGTGATGTCGGCTTCCACGGAATGCTCTTTAACACAAAGCGTTGAAATGCTCTGAATGGTTACTTCGCCTCATGACATGCCGCCAATAGCAAAATCAGATGAAACTGGAGAAAAACCAAAATGAAACTGCATTTTCTTGGTTATTTCGGTAAAGACACGTAGAATGGAAACAAAGTAATAAAAATAAAACATAATAAAATAAAATTCTCACGACGTTTCGGCCACAACACAAGTAGCCTTCTCCAGGTGAAGGAACAGAACTGTCGGGACGACAGCGCTTCAATGAACGCTGCTAAGATTCGCAGTCTTTTAAGCTAGGTGAGAGAAGTAAAGCGCCTTGACAAAGGAGTTTACATATCAAACAGGAGAATTTAGCATTGAAATAGCTGAGGGATTCGCTTGTGACTGGTCACAGAAATGGCTATGTTAAAGTCAAAGTTTACATATCAACAGAGGCATTTAGTATATGGACGCTAAAGGACTGCAACTACCCAACTATCATACAGTAAACCGATGTGAAAAAAACCTAAGTGTAAACTACATCAATATAATAAATGTACTCAATATATTCTTCAATAAGCCGAGCCATTAACACAAAGCAACTGGGTATACACTACACTATGAAATGAATACCATATAGTAAACCAATAAAAAACTAAAATATAAACTACATCAATGTTATCAATAAACTATATACTCTCCAATCAGCTGAAACTGCATTCCAAGACGTTTTAGAAAAAAGACGAACTAAATTTAGCCTTTAATTGCAAAAGACAACTTTTGAGAAGGAAAAATAACAAATAACCATTGTTTTTTTGGAGCCAAGCTGGACTGAGCATGGTTAGTACTTGGATGAGAATATCTGGATATATGACGTTTGGCCTGCGAGACAGCCAGGAAATGGGCAGGACACCGATGGTGGAGCTTTCTGCATCACTCCCTCGTTTACATGTGGTTTCCCTCACTTGCCACTCATTTAAGGGAACTGGTCAAACATCACCAATACAAGTGTCCTGAGACTCAGTGAGGCTTTGCTGGTTCAAGGGCATTTTTATTGAGAGGTCACATTTCGCAGGGAAGCCTCGATGTGAACACAAGTATTTTAACATCCGCTCAGTCAACCGAGTTGCTTTTGGAGTTTTGACTTAGATGCATAGCCCAGCATAGATGCATAGCCCAGCATAGATGCATAGCCCAGCATAGATGCATAGCCCAGCATAGATGCATAGCCCAGCATAGATGCATAGCCCAGCATAGATGCATAGCCCAGCATAGATGCATAGCCCAGCATAGATGCATAGCCCAGCATAGATGCATAGCCCAGCATAGATGCATAGCCCAGCATAGATGCATAGCCCAGCATAGATGCATAGCCCAGCATATCAGAAATCCGGACTAGCAGCAAGTCAGGGAGCGCAGTGATCAGCTTTATACACATGTGATCTTCTTCCCTTCGTGTTTTGCATAAGTGTAAAGTGATTTTTCCTTTTCACGTGGGGTGTTTTATGTGACCAGTCACAGGAGACTTACATTTATAGTGCAAGAAGTCCTAGCTTAATGGCAGCAGGAAATGTTGTAAATTCTGTTGTCCTACGCCTTACGGACACTTCAGAACTAGTAAGCCATGGGCCAGTGTGCCATTTAGTACCAACTGAGCCATCAAAACACAAATACTCGATCATTAGCCATGATCAATCCACTGTTGGATGGAGGCCTCCTCCGAAGCCACCACCACCATCCCCGCAACGTTCCCACCATATACTTAATATGGCCAAAAAGAGCTTTTCGTGACAACTCAATCAAAATGGTTATTACATAATCCACTTGCAATGTCCATATGAAGATCTTACCACGAAAGTGTATTCCGCCTCTCGTGACATTGGTGTGTACGCGTGTTATGCCCGCTCTGTGCTCACGGCGTCTCTGCGGATCTCCGGTTGAGCATCGCCCTCGTCTCAAACGAGACACAAGAGAGCTGCTGTGTTCTAAACCCGTGACGCCGCAATTACATAGACATCCCGTTTATAGCTTCAGCTCTGGGCATAGCGCATCCACGCGATGCGCGGGGGGAGTCTTGAGTTGATGGGAAATTTTCTTGACACAAATTCTGGTTGCATAGGCACCATCATCATCATAATTAGTTTTCAGTTCAGTTTTCATTTATTAGGTATAACCCTGCGAGTCTCTGGAGAAACCCGTCCGTACGGGTACCATGAGGTGGGGGACCACGTGGACGCGAGCGACACGCGAGGACCCTTACAAGGAGACGCCTGAGGGAATGCGGTCACTGACCCCCAGGAGCGGGCGGGAGAAAGCCGCGCCTCACCAAGTAACCCGCCACCCCTGAATTAATCCCCTCACCAACTCATTCAACCTCCTCAAAGACAAACAAAGCACTCGACTCCCCGTACCAATACTGTACACACAAAACCACTTTACACCCCCCCCCCCTAAATTCAATACTCACCAACCCATTCACGCCCTCACGGACTAACCACCAGCACTCTTACGTGTTAACTAAACAATTCACTCACCCCCTTAACCAATACACATAAAACCATTTCACACCCTCACCCAATCGCCTACTCACTCACCAACCCATTCACTCCCTCACAGACTAACTCACCACTCACCCTATCCACCGTAACTTTTTCGTGTTAAACACCCGACCACGAGAATCACACTCACACCTCCAAACCACTCATCCACGCCCTCATTGACTCCCACACGCAACCACTCATTCACATTTATCACCACCGCCGCCACTACTACCCCAATCATTGTACTATCATTTTTTTTACATTTCGGTTGCATAAATGTGCAGCCATGTCTCGCACAGCGCGCTCACTCGCACGTGGCTTAACAACACGAGGCATTGATACACACACACACGAGGAACAGCGAAACACGATGAAGATGTCACAGTAGACACCGACACCAGATGACACACACACAAGATACGCGAGGTTGTGTCCGCGAGGTTGTGACCGCGTGTCAGTGAGAGTCCATAACGGGCGTAGCACGTGGGGGGAGGAGACGCGGCCGGTTTCCCTCCTCCTCCACCACCACCATATGGACACCGCCACGAATGGCGATGCTGATGAGTCCAACGATGTTGATCGCTGCTGCTCATTATGTTGGCGATGTTGATGTTTAAGAATGCTGCCGGTGATTATTCTGCCGGTGATAATTGAGCTAATTTTGCTATTTCTGCTAATACGACGGCGATTATTCTATTGCCCATGCCCCCCCCCATCCCTCCCCCAATGAAGATGTTGATAATACTAACGACGACGTAGAGCCCTTTTGTTAATTACATTAGATACCTTAACCCCCCCCCATCTTCCTCCCACCGAGGCGGCGTCGTGGCCCTGCCGCTGCTGCCGGGTGGTGGTGGCGGTTGGTGGACCCGGCACGACCGGGGAGATAAAACCACGACTCTGCCTCACGCTACCAGATTACCACCCGCCTCTCGCAACGCGACAAACGCGGTGGCGGCGTTAGCGACTCGTTACCTTGTCGATGTAGATGGCGAGGCGATCGTTGAGGTTAATCAGATCGTCCTTCTCCCGTTGCCGCGAGAGCCGCGTCGGGCTCAGGGGCGACGCCAGTGACGAGCGTCCCGCGCCGCGGGGCCCGATCGGCGTGGCCGAGGCGGACGACATCTCTGCTGCTGCTGCTCCACAAGATTCCTTGTAAACTCACTCTCGTCAAATCCTCCTCAAGTGAAGACAACAACACCGCCGCCGCTGCTGCTGCTGCTTTGTGAGGGACGCGACCGTTCCTCCTCCGACAACGACTTGAGGGCGGCGCGAGGGGAGGGGGAGGCCGCGAGGGGGCGGGGGGGGCGGAGAGTGACGTCACCGAGCGCGCGCGCCCGGCACCGCAGGCAAGATGGAGGACCGCACGTGACCGCGCGCCGGCCAATGGGGAGAGCGAGCAACGCGCGCCGTCTCTTGCTTCCCGCGCTTTTTTTTGTTTGTGTGCATAAATTAATTAATTAACAGGGTAGCGGTATTGCACAAACAACACACAAACAACGCCCGCGACCTCCACACCGTTCGCAACAACACTGCCCCTCTAAAGAATAAAACACGATGCAGGCAAACGTTTCGGGTAATAGCTCTTTTATTAATTGCAGCGAATGAAAGAGAAAAAAATCGTCTAATTTTCCCCGCACCCCTCCTCGTCAGCGCGAGCAAAGTCATCTCGCATTTTGCGAATGTGGCGGGGGGGGGGCGGTAACACTGCGCTTGCTCAAAGTTATTTTCTAAAATGCTGCGAATGGAGAAGACTCGAACCGCGCGCGTTCAACGCGCGGGCGGAGTGCACCGGAAGCTTTGCGCTTTGTTTCAATGGGGGACAAAGGCGGCGTGCCCCCTCCCCCATTGCCTTAACTGGCCCGCGCCTCCCACCCCTACCGACTCGACTGGCCCACCTCCTACATTGATTCCATTGCCCCCCCCCCCACATCGACTCCATTGGCCCGTGCCCCCCCATTGACTCCATCCCCCCCTTCCATTGAATCCATTGCCCCCCCCCATTGACTCCATGCCCCCCCCCATTGACTCCATTACCCCCTTCCATTGAATCCATTGGCCCCCACATCGACTCCATTGGCCCGCGCCCCCCCCATTGACTCCATCCCCTCCACCCATTGAATCCATTGGCCCGCGCCCTCCCCCATTGACTACATTGCCCCCCCTATTCACTCCATGCCCCCCCCATTGACGCCATTGCCGCCCCCCCCCCATTGACTCCATTGCCCCCCCGTTGACTTCATTCCCGCCCCCCATTCACTCCATGCCCCCCCATTGACTCCCATTGCCCCCCCCCATTGACTCCATTACCGCCCCCATTGACTCCATGGGCCCCCATTGATTCCATTACCCCCCCCCCCCATTGACTCCCATTGCCCCCCCCATTGACTCCATTGCCCCCCCCCCCATTGACTCCATAAACATAATATAAATACATGTTAAGAATATTCATATTCTTATCTCTTTCGGTAAAGTCACGTTGAAGGGAAACAATAAAATATATAAAACTATATATTTAATTTTCACGTTGAAGGGAAACAATAAAATATATAAAACTATATATATTTTATTATTTTATTGTTTCCCTTCAACGTGACTTACCGAAAGAGCTAAGAATATGAATTACTGCAGTCACGAAAGCTTTAAATCAAAATGTTAAGAATAATTGACTAAATGAATTAAAAGTTTAATGAGCGGAAGCGAAATAAATGTCCACAGGCTCAGAGAGCTCCATAATCAAGATGTTTTTTTTGGGGGGGGGTTAGAGATCGCGTAAATATCATAGAGATTAATCTGAAATCTCGTGGAAGAGCGTTCCATAGCCCCGTGAAGAAGCTGGGTCACCCACAGACCGCGAGCGCATTGCGTGTGGCACAAGGAGCTCAATGATGACCCGTGCGTGTGTTGTCCGAGGGCTGCCAGGCCTCGAGAGAGTGTAAGCTTTGACATTCTCCCTTCGTGAACGCTTCGGCGGTTCACTTGGTGGTGGAATAATTTGCGCTTGCGTGGCCACAATCACACTCCCGCACTGTGCCGTCTTTAATGTTATCAATGAGTCTCCGTCTCTACGAATCTCTCTATGCGTCTTTATGTACCTCTAAGGTAGCACCGTCTCGTGTCCTCCCCACGCCAACAGCCGTGATCTATCCACTGCTGGGATGAATTTCTCTATCTCATCGCTCCATCTCCACGTTGGGGGGGCGGCGGCTGCGTGCTTTTTGTTCATGTTTAACGGCTGGCACGCAAACGCAAAGTCTCCACACCCACCGGTCGTCAACATCTTCTTCCGACCGAAGCGGACTTTGTTTCTCAAACAGTCAACACGACGATGCGCGTCGTAATGAATGACCGTCGGGGTTTTTGTTTTTAAAGAAAATAAACGTGAACGTTTGCCCGGGATTCACAAGGTGAAAGTGCCTCCGCTCGCAAGTGGGCGTGGCCACGAGCGGAGGTGGTGACGTCACCAACGGTTGCCCCTTTATTTGGCGCGAAAATTTAAGGGTTTCCATGACGACGAGCCGTTACAAATGAACTTGGGCGCGCCAATGTCAGCAGATAAACAATGGTCGATAACAGTGGCCTTAAAATGAATACACGAAAGGCGATGTTTAGGGAAATGGGCCTCCAAAGAATACTTTAAAAAAAATTTTAACTGATGAGCATCTTTCAAAAGACGGATGTCTTATAGAAGACGCATTCCGGAAGACGCCTTCCGGAAGACGTCTCCATCTTCCGGAAGACATCTCAATCTTCCGGAATACCTTTCCATCTTCCGGAATATTCTCCATCTTCCGGAAGACGTCTTCCATCTTTCTGAAAGATATCTTCCAAAAAACGTCTTCCAGAAGTCGTCTTCCAGAAGACGTCTTTATAAATTTAGATGGTTATTATTTTATATTACTCTTTGGTTCTTTCGGTAAAGTCACGTAGTTAGAAAAAAAAATAATCGGTCACGACGTTTCGATCGCAACACAAGCGACCGTCATCAGGTGAGACAATCACAGCAGGAAAACTGCTGAAGCACTGCTGCTTCAGCAGACCATCCAGCAGTAGATCGAGCACAGCTGCTGATGGAGCACAGCTGCTGATGGAGCACAGCTGCTGATGGAGCACAGCTGCTGAAAAGCACTGCTGCTTCAGCAGTTTCCCTGCTGCGATTGTCTCACTTTACGACGGGCGCTTGTGTTGCGATCGAAACGTCGTGACCTATTATTATTTTTCTACCCACGTGGCTTTACCGAAAGAAGCAAAGAGTGTGTATTCCTGCAGTCACGAAAGCTTCAAATCAAGATCGTATTTATGAACTTACACTTTTATATCTTATGTACATAATTTTGTTACACTCTCCACACCGACGCGAAACACATTCTCCTGCGGAGGGAGCTGGTAGGAACGTTGGGTTGCTCGGTCAATGGCCAGGGTCAACGGCGGCACCACGTGGTGCATTCCGCAAATTTGCCCGACTGTGGGGGCGGGCACAAGCCGGCGTGAGTAGGTTAAACGTTGCGTTTTATAAGGGCACCACGGTGTGACCAGCCCCTCCCCACCCAGCCCCTCCCCTCTCACCCAGCCCCACCCCCCCACCCAGCCCCACCCCTCCCCACCCAGCCCACCCAGCCCCTCCCCACCCAGCCCCTCCCCACCCTCCCCACCCAGCCCCTCTCCACCCTCCCCACCCAGCCCCTCCCCACCCTCCTTACCCTCCCCACCCAGGCCCTCCCCACTCCACCCCTCATTCTCTGGCCTGTATGCTGTAAAGGACCCTTGCCCACTACCCTTTACTTTTAAGGCCATATGTTACTGACGAATGAGTTTAGACTTAAAACTTTCGAGACTGCAGGAATTCATATTCTTGGTTCTTTCGGTAAAGTCACTTAGAAAACAAAACTCCACCTGAAGAAGACCGCTTGTGTTGCGATAGAAACGTCGTGGGTTTTTTACTTTTTAATTTTTTTACGTGACTTTACCGAAAGAACCAAGAATGACGAATTAGTGTTTTATTTGCACTTGTCTACCACTGCCAACGCAGCAGCATGACCACCAAATAATTTGTGTAAATATTTTTGCTTTTCACCAGCTATGCCCGATCACCAGCTATGCTCTAAGTACTGCTGGATGGTCTTCCCAAGACGTCGCTACCCCCCCCCCCCCCGCGGTCCTTCGACGCAACGATCCACCGAGCCCTTGCACGATGGCAGCAGCCAAGACACAAACAGGCACCTGATTCAGGTAATTTATTACAGATTAGACATCTTTACAATGTATATTTATCACTATCAGCTCATAATCCCCGTCTGCTCAGGCTGGGCTTAGCTCGCGGTTGCCCAATCGACACTTGACACAGTCGCTGTAGCTGCAAACTACAGTAGCAACATTGACACAGACCCACACCGAAATCGTGACTCCACAATCTGCTAGGCCACACCGCAGTGACGGGGCCGGGGCTGCGGCCAGCGGAGGCAAACGATGAAGGGGTTGCGGCGGCGGCGAGCTACGCCAGCGTTTGACCTCATCGCAGGTGCTGGGGGCCGGAGGTACCTACCACCGTCACTCATCGTGGACCCACTCGGGGAAGGGGGGGGGTCGGGCGCAGGGGGTGCACGCTATAAAAACCGTACGAAACCGATTAATCAGGCGGTAGGTGCGTACTAGGTGCGCGCAAGCGGAGCTAAAACTACATCGAGAGACTCTTTCTCAGAAACTCGACTTCCAAGGCCACGGCGCGGGACGCCCGCGTAGGTCGGCGTCCGACGATGGTGGCGATGGCGATTGCGATCGCACGCTGCGTGAACGATGACGTGAGGAAGCTCCGGGGCCACCGTGTGCTGACCCCGGCATGGCGGAGGTACGAAGTGGAGGTCCTACGCAGCGTGTGCAGCTCAGCCGGGGTCATGCTGGGCTCGTAGGCAGAACGGCGACACAATGACGGACGGCCATACGAGTCCACGCAAAGGCCACCCGGCTACGGTTAAGGCCGGCTTTGTTCACCAGCCGAGCATCTGAGCAGTGACCACAGTCGATACGCTGCCCACTCCACCGTGTCTCCACAACTCTACCAATGTTGTTCCACCTTCCCGCGTGGACGCCGCTTATCGGTGGCTCGGTGAGCACCGCACCGCGTCGGGCTCAAGTCTTTGGGCCGATTTGAGGCCACGTTTGCGTGCGTGCGCGCGTGAGGGGGGTGGGGGGAGAGATCAGCTCTGTTCCGGCGGGAAGGCCACGTCGATGATCTGGCTGTAGTGGTCCACAAAGTGGACCTCAAGGCCCTCAGTGATGTACGACGCCAGATCCGAGAAGTCCTTCCGGTTCTCCGCGGGGAGGATCATGCAGGTGACGCCCGCTCGCCGCGCCTGACGCACGCGCGCGTGGGGGGGTGTGAGTTAAGAGTGCGGGTAAGGGTACACAATTGTGTAAGGGGGTATCATGGTGGCGAGATGTTAACTACTTCGCCTGGTATACAAGAGGTTGTGGGTTCGATCCCAACCATGACGCCTGTATATTTGAACTTTGCGTGTTCTCCTTTTCCAAGTCCTTAGATTTTTTTCCTCCACATTTAGAAACATGCGTTTAGAGTATTTGGCTGTTACACATTTACACACGATAAGCTACTACGTTGAGCTATCATTTGTACCCAGGTCGCTTCTTAAAAACAGCTACATAGCTCAGTGAGCCTTAACTTGTAAAATAATACTCACCGCGATGGTCTTCTCCTTGATGCCGCCCACCGGGAGGATTTTGCCTGTGAGCGACACCTCCCCCGTCATGGCGAGGTCCTGCCGCACGGCGCGGCCCAGTGCCAGCGACAGCAGCGCCGTCACGATGGTGCAGCCGGCACTCGGCCCGTCCTTGGGCGTCGCACCCTGCGAGCGCACAATGATAAAGATTCCCCCACATAGCCTTCAGCAGAACGTTGGGGCAAGTGCTGTTCACGAGCACCTATGAAGGCCGGCGTATTTATGTTGAAATTAGTTCGCATTGCACGTAGCCAACCGGAAGGACCACAAACTCAACACAAAAAGCAGTTGTAAAGAAATGAATTTTCAATCTAGATTTAAAAGTTAATAGCTCTTTTAAGAGGGCCAGGACCATGCCTGGCCTGCTTTGTCCCTTAGCGACGATGTTTACACATCACAACAGATACCAATTTGTGACCGAGTCAACCTAGGGGAGGCACAGGTCTGGTTCAGGTATTCGTCACAGACGTTGGCCTTGAGCAGGAATCGAATTCGGGTCACTGGGTTTGTACACACACCCACAAAGCATGCACACACGCCCACGCGCACACCCACACGAAATGTACCTCAGGCACGTGGAGGTGGAGGTGCGAGCTGGTGAGTGTCTCGTTGCCAGGATCGTGCTGCATGAGGAAGGAGCGCGCAAACGTGTACGCGATGCGCGCGCTCTCCTTCATCACGTCGCCAAGCTGCCCCGTCACCTCCAGCGTCCCTTCCTTGGTCTCGGGGTCGCGGGGTCGGCGCAGTGACGTCTCCACAAACAGCGTCGAGCCGCCTGGGGTCGGCGAGGTTGAGAACGCGGTTACATCACGGTTGCGCGTCTGAAACTCAAAACGAGCGGGCTGTCGTCTTGTGCCGCCGTCACGATCCAAATTTCCAAAATACAATTTTAAAAAGAAGTTACACCGTAAATTAGTCAACGTGGAATCACACACACAGCAGCCATCGTCGCCTCCTACTAAGAAACCAGGGCAGGCCGTCCCTGTGACGATAGCCCTGCGCTGTAAGAACGATACCGCCCATACCACATTTACTATATAATCATGATTTTTGTTATCACGCTGGGGGAGACAGTGCTGTAGACAGTGACGGCGGTGGTGGGGGTGGCAGCGAAGGGGGCGAAGGGAGGGAGGGGGGGGCGAAGGGAGGGAGGGGGGGGCGAAGGGAGGGAGGGGGGGCGAAGGGAGGGAGGGGGGGCGAAGGGAGGGAGCGAAGGGAGGGAGGGGGGGCGAAGGGAGGGAGGGGGGGGCGAAGGGAGGGAGGGGAGGGCGAAGGGAGGGAGAGGGGGGCGAAGGGAGGGAGGGGGGGGCGAAGGGAGGGAGGGGGGGGGGGCGAAGGGAGGGAGGGGGGGCCTTTGCGACGCACCCATGGCGGTCCACGCCAGACCCATGACGACGCCGGGCGGCGTCACGTCGTACATGCGGTCCACGGTGAATACCGGCTTCCCCACAAAGTCCTGCAGGTTCCCGGTGTCCACGGTGACGCTCTCCGCATCACCCTCCACAAGCCGGAACGCGGCCTTCCGGAACACCTACACCACGACCGCCACCACCGTCATCAACACCACCAATTACACATAGCCATCAGCGTTGTCAACACAAACACCAATACCATTGAAAACGTGCCCTTTATGACACTACCCGAGCCGGAATGCGGCCCTCCGGAACACCTACAACACTACCGTCACCAACACCAACAATCTCACACAGCCATCGGCATAAACATCAATACCACCACCAATGCCGTCACTGCCACAAACGGGATGACGCGCTTTCACTGGCCCTCCACCAGCCGGAGCGTACTTCCTTTGCAGTACTCACTCTGTCTCACTCTCTCTCACATGCTGCCCTCTCTCTCACCCTCACAATCTCACCTTCTCGATCTGCTTCTGCAGGTTGCGCACGCCGCTCTCCCTGCAGTACTGCCGGATGAGGATCGCGAGTGCGTCCGCCGTGATGGACGCCCGCCCGTCCGTGAGTCCCGTGCCTGTCTGCACTTGTGGCACCAGGTACTTCTACGGTGGGGGGGGGCGGCGGAGAGGGGGTGGGAGATGTTGAGTTGTGTGCGCATGTTGAGGGTTGTGATGAAGTGTGTGAACGTGATGGTATGTGGGGAGCGGTGGTGCAGCGGTTAGTGCACTGCGCTACGAAACCGGCGACTCGAGTTCTATGCCAGCTCACGGCCACCAACACCAGTGACGATTGTTTGAACCGGTCCAGGGCCTTCCCTAGGTCGATTCAGCCCCTTGGTGTGGTGTGAACATCGCTATTGGGGAGAAAACGGCGGCCGGATGTGGTGCTAGTCACCCACCCCCAGCTTTCGTAGGTGCTCGCTAGCTGCACTTACCCTAACGGCCTGTTAAGAAGGCTATATGGCGGATCTTTGTCCAAGTGTGTGACGAAGCGTGGAGTGCGATGGCGTGTGCAAGACGCGGTGTGTTCGGCAAGCTGTGGACTGCAACGAAAGCGCGCGACGAGGTCCAACCGCGCGATGGCGTGCGGCTGCGCCACACGGTACACGTGTGCCGAGGTGTGTATAGGACGCGCGCACGTGACAAGGGTGCGTGCGTGCGTGTGGTTTGTGTGACGAGGCGAGTTCGACGACGCGCGTGCGGCGCGACGAGAGGTGAGGAAGAGGTGGATGTAATAGTTGCCTCGGCGATGGCGAGCTTCTCCTGCGCCACGTATCCCGACACAGCGATCATCTCCATGCGGTCTCGCAGCGGCTCGGGGATCGTGTCCAGCACGTTCGCCGTGCAGATGAACAGCACCTTGGGGGAAGGTGGGTCAAAGGGTCAGGGGTCAAGTCAATCCACGGGTCAGCCAGTCAAGCATCAAGGTGCGATCCAAACCCCAATGCCTGTATATTTGGAGTTCTCCCCATGGTCGTGTGGATTCTTCTCAAGGTCCTCCGGGATTTCCCTGCACATTCTGGCTGCTATAAATGTCCACATGATAAGCCACTTCGTTGAGCTATTATTTGTGGCCAGGTCGCTTCTGAAAAAGAGCTATGTAGCTCAGCGGGCCTTACCTGGTCAAATAAAAGTAGTAATAGTTTGATGGAGGGAGGTGGAAGTTCAACAGGGGTCACGGGGTCGAGCGGCCTCACCTTGGAGAGGTCGATGGTCACGTCGAGGTAGTGGTCTAGGAAGTTGGCGTTCTGCTCGGGGTCCAGCAATTCGAGCAGCGCGGACGACGGGTCGCCCTGGTAACCGCGGCCAATCTTGTCCACCTGGTCGCCGTGGAAATGCGCACAGCGACCACGTTACCGGGGGAACGCATTCTCGTGGAGTGGCACTCGGCTAAGCAAAGGAGACCCCGCATTTGATAAATATATCGGAGAAAAAGAATGAATTCAAGATCCTTATAGAAATAAACAGTGAAAATAATTTAAATTGGAATTAGTTCATTGCTTTAAATCTTTTCACACAACTGATCCCCGTGGCATGAATGCCAAGCATGACGAGAGCCATGCGTTACTATTCTGTTTACAAGCTGTGAAATCTGTTCCTTTGCTGAGGCTGAGTCGATCTAGGGGAGGCCCAAGACCAGCTCAGGTAATCGTCGCTCGTGTTGTCCGTGAGTGGAAATCAAACTTGGGTCACTGGGTTCTCTAGCGCAGCGCACTAACTGCTACACAGACAACAAAGACCTCCCGTGTAGCCTTAACGGACTGTAGGGGCAAGTGCTGTTAGCGAGCACCTATGAAGGCCAGCACGGCACACAAGGGGGTGGGGGTGGCTAACACTAAGCCTGGCCGCTTTTGTCTCCCGAGTGGTGACGTTTACACATCGCACCAGGTGCTCATTTGAAGCCGAGTCGACTTACGGGAGGCCCAGGACCAGTTCAGATAAGTCACTGGTGATGGCTGTGAGCGGGAATCAAACCGTACATATACACAACAAGCGCTGTGGAGGTGACATCACCCCCACAGCGCTTGTGCTAGGCCAGGTGGACTTTGAGGCCATGTGATGTGTGGGAGGCTTGCTGACTGGAGGTCACGGCACAGGCCCAGCTGCCATGGGTTGACTGAGATGACTGGCAGATGCCCCACCTGTGTCCCCTACTGTGCCAACTTGCTGTATTTTAGCCACCCGGCGCTCTGCTCGTTGTTGTGAGCGTCGCTCCTCTGCCCTCTGTTGTTGTTGGAGGGCGATTGCCTCCAACTGACCAGTAGCGTCCTTCACGAGCCTCCTCCATAGGGACCGAACTTGACACCGCTTGTACCAGTCATCAGCAGGTCCACTCAGCTCCACGTCCTCCTGTACCACATCACTCCATCTCTTCTCCAGCCCGTGCCGTTTAGCCCCCTCTCCTAGCCAAACAGAACCTGCTTGGGCATGCGGTGGTTGGGCATGAGCACACAGATACACACGCGCGGGGTTCTCACCTCGTCGATGAGGATGAGCGGGTTCTCTGTCTTGGTCTTTTTCAGGCACTGGATGATCTTGCCGGGCATGGCGCCCACGTAGGTGCGGCGGTGCCCCTTGATCTCGGCCACGTCCGTCATGCCACCCACACTAAAGCGGAAGTACTCGCGGTTGAGCGCGCGGGCGATGGAGCGTGCAATCGACGTCTTCCCCACGCCGGGGGGGCCGTGGAAGCACAGGATCTTGCCCTGCGTCGTGCCGCGCAGATGGCTCACGGCGATGAACTCCTGCGTACGTGCGTGTGTGTACGTGTGTGTGTGTACACGTACGCGCACGTACGGTAGGTAGTGGGGGGCGGGGGGTAGAGTGAGATCAGGGTGGGGGAAAGCTGTGTGTGTACTCGCGTGCGTGTGTGTGTGTACACTATGGGGAGAGGTGGTGCAGTGGTTAGCGCACTGCGCTACAAACCCAGTGACCTGAAATCGATTCCCATTAACGGCCAACACCAGTGACGATTATTTGAATCAGTCCTGGGTCCATTCAGCCTCAAATGAGTACCTGATGTAGGGTGTAAACATCCCCTCCAGAGAGATAAAGCCGGCCGGGCATGGTGCTGGCCATACTCCTCGTCTACTGTGCTTGCCTTCGTAGGTGCTTGCGAACAGCACTTGCCCCAACATTCTGTTCAGGCTAGATGGGGGATCTTTGTCTTTGTGTCCAACGAGCAGTGGTGCGGTGGTTGGTTAGCCCACTGCGCTACAAACCCGGCCACGCAAGTTGGATTCCCGCTCACAATCAACATCGGTGACGATTATCTGAAACGGTTCTTGTTGTGGTTGTTGTGCTTGTGGTGTATTTGCTCCGTGGCTGTGGTGGCGGTGGCCGTGGTCCCCACCAGGATGCGGGCCTTGATGTCATCCATGCCGTAGTGGTCCTGCTCCAGGACTTCGCGCGCTCGCCCGATCTTTAGTGTCTCCTCGCTCACGCGGCCCCACGGCACGCTCGTCAGCCAGTCCAGGTAGTTCCTCGTCACACTGAGGGCATCATACGTACCACATCATCATACCAACATCATAAAGACAGAGATGTAACATGTAGCTGTAACAGACTGTTGGAGAAAGTGATGATCATGAGCACCTATAAAGGCCGACATGGCGCATGAGGGGATGGATGTGGCTAACACCACACCTAGCCGCCTGCCTTCGTCTCCCGAGTGGCGATGTTTACATACCAGGCCAGCTACTCATTTGAGGCCGAGTTGACCTAGTGGAGGCCCAAGACCGGTTCAGATAATCGTCATTAGTATTCTTTGGTGCTTTTGGTCCAGTCACGTAGATAGAAAAAATAGAAAAAAGATAACAACCACGGCGTTTCGATCGCAACACAAGCGGTCGTCATGAGGAAAAGGGGGTTAGCCTCTCAAGGCAAGCTGTTGATAAAGGCGTAGCCTAAGTGTTTTCTACCTACGTGACTTTATCGAAAGCACCAAAGAATATGAATTCCTGCAGTCACGAAAGTTTTAAGTCAAAATGTAATCGTCATGAGTGTTTGCCGTGAGCAGGAATCTAACTCAGGTCGCCGTGTTCGTAGCGCAGCGTGATAACCGCTACACTAACACTCCACACAAACCACTCCGAAACACACACACCTGTCACACAAACCACAGCAGCTCTCTCTCTCTCACTCACCCCACTCCATCTCTCTCACGCCTCGCCACGCCGCTCCCATTATTTTGCTGCTATAACTTTCCACATGACGATGACAAGCCAATTCGTTGAGCTATCATTTGTGGCCAGGTCGTGTCTGAAAAAGAAGCCAATAGCTCAGTGGGCCTTACCTGTAAGATAAAAAATAGTTGAGTTTTATTTCCATGTTTAAGTGATTTATTACCTTTGCTATACTTTGCACGCCTATCGTGTTGTTTTGCTGTTTGTTGTTGTAACGTGACCCCGTGCCCCGACTGGACACGTGTGAAATAAAGCTCCATAGCTCATCGGACTCCTCCGGTTGAAACAAACATTCTGATTCGGATCTCCCGTGAGCCGCTGCCCTCACTTGAACTCGGACGAGTGGTTGTCGAGCAGCGCCAACTTGCTCAGCTCCTCCTCGATGACGGTGACGACGTGGGGCGGCACGACGAGGTGGGAGAGGCGCTCGCGCATGCGCTCCGCGATGGCGTCCTTGTCGTCCTTCTCCAGGCCCAGCTCCTTCTTGATGATCTTCAGCTGCTCCTGCAGCAGGTACTTCCTGTGCGTCTGCTTGATCTTCTCCTCCACCTGCGAGGGCGGCGGCGCGTGGAGGAAGACGCAGCAGGGAGAGGGCCGGGCGTTAGGGGGGGGGGGACTGCACTCGTGGCGAGCTGCGATCCAGCGCTGGGGAGAGGGGGGCCGCCCCTCTGAGGTCGTGCCTCCACCCTCATGACAGACGCCCAGGGGGGGCCCCGAGGAAGTGGGAAGAGGCCTCGAGGAGGAGAAGGAGGCGGTGCGGGGGGCATGGGCCGCATGGGAGCGGAGCCGCTGGGAGGACGCGGTGGAGGCCAGCGAAGGTGTTGATGGTCGAGGTGGAGAACATGGTGCATCACGAGTTGACGCACACCGAGGTCGAGCCGTACCCTGGCTCCCGGGGAGATGGCGGTGCCAGCAAAGTGTGGACTGATATCATCATTGCCTTCCGTATGGGATAGAGTGCTGCCCCCTTGCTCAAAAATGATTTGCTGAAAACATCCTAATCTATGCGCGCCTCCGTGTGTACCGTTTTGTATGTGATGCAGTTACAGTACGTGTTTGATGACAAAAATAATCGTTGTCATTATGAAATAATGAGTGGGGAGAGAGGCTGAGAGAAAGAGAGAGACAGAGGATAGAACAAGAGACCGGGAGAGCCGGGCTTCTCACCTCTCGCCCGAGCCTCTGCTGGAGTTTGCTCAGCTCAAATTCCTTCTTCAGCAGTGACAGCGCCTTGTACAGCCTCTTGGGGATCTGTTTAAACGCTCACACGCGCGAGCATGCGTGTGAGCGCTCGCGTGTGGGCGAGCACGCGAGTGTAAGTGTGTACGGGCACGCGAATGTAAGTATGTACGGGCACGCGAGTGTAAGTGTGTACGGGCACGCGAGTGTGTGTACGGGCACGCGAGTGTAAGTGTGTACGGGCACGCGAGTGTGTGCGCGCGTGCGAGCAGCAGTACGCGATCGCAAAGACACACGGGTCGACATGGAGAGACACACCGTCGCACGGGAGAGACAGGGACGTGGTGACGCACGGACACGATGACGTGCGAGTGCCGACGTAACAGGTGCTCGCCCCAACAGCCTGCTAAAGGCTGCATGGTTAGGGGGGAGGCAGATCTTAGTCTCTGCGTAATATCCCCGCACTCCCAACTCCCCCACCCCCCGCTCACGTTGGTCTCCTCCAGCACGTCCTGCAGCTCGTGCGACTCTGCCCCGGTCAGCGCCGCCCCCATGTCGCTCAGGTAGATGGGGTTGTCGATGACGCGCTGCCCGGCCTGCATCATCTGCACCACCGACTCGCGGTACAGCGGGTTCAGCGCGATGATGTCGCGGATCGTCTTGACGATCTCCGCCGTCAGAGCCTGGCGCACGGGGACAACAACGGGAGACGCGGGGAGACGGGGAGACGTGGGGAGAACACGTGGACAGATATGGGGACAACACGCGGGGAGATACACGATAGGAGGGTGGAGCAGGAGGACACGGGCACACACGGAGGGACACGGCCAAACGGGAACACGGAGACACATCGAGAGACAAAATGACACAAAGGGGGACAGAAGTGGAGGAGCACAGACGCAGAGGTGGACACGGCGGGACACGTGGTGACACGGGAGACAGGGACGTGGAGACGCACGGTGAAACGTGGACACACGGAGACGACACACGCAGACACACGGGGAGTCGGGGAGACACACACGAGACAAGGAGACGCGTGAACACGTGCAAGCAGCGCGCCCAGACACACAGTCACGGTTGCATTTCGGGACCTCTCAATAATCGACATTTGCAGTATCTCTGAGAATTCCTTCTGACCCGACCTTACTGGACATCTGTGAAAAAGAGCTTCATAGCTCATCGGATTCCTCCAGTATAAATAAATATTCTGATTCTGACCTATCGCTCCGTCAAACCTGTGCCCATTTGGCTCGACCTCTCTCCCCGTCAACGCGACGCACCTTGACCTCCTCGGTGTGCGTGAACTCCTCGTGCACCACGTTCTCCACCTCCACCATCAGCACCTCCTCGCTCGCCACCCCCGCGTCCTCCCCTCCCAGCGGCTCCACCCCCACGGGACCCGTGCCCGCCGCCTCCGCCACCTCCTCGGGGCCCCTCCCCACCTCCTCGGGGCCCCCTGGGGCGCCAGGCGCGGGGGGCACGGTCTCGAAGGGTCGCCCGCCCCTCTCCCGGCGCCAGCGTCGACCCCGGGGTCGCCCTTCCTGCTCGGGGTCGCCCGGGGTCGCGGTTTCGTCCGCTTCTGCCTGCGGGGTCATGACCATCATCTCGGGGTCGGCGTCGAGTGCGCGCGTGATCCGGATCCTGGGGGGCAGGTGGGTTGGGAGGGGGGGGGGCAGCGTGATCAACGATGACTGCGCTCGTTAAATTTGTTTTTCATTCGTCACCTTCAGCCATGGTCGATCCATTGCTGGATGAAGCTTCCTCAAGCCTCCGCCACCATCTACTCAGGTTTAATTCGCGTGAAGGAATGCTGCTGGATGACATTGGTATGTAAAGCGGATAGGCCGATGGTCCGGGCGATACCACCAGCAGTAGCGGTGTGACGTGAGTCCAGCCCTACCCCCGGTGTTAGTGGTGTGACGTGAGTCCGGCCCTACCCCCGGTGTTAGTGGTGTGACGTGAGTCCGGCCCTACCCCCGGTGTTAGTGGTGTGACGTGAGTCCAGCCCTACCCCCGGTGTTAGTGGTGTGACGTGAGTGCGGCCCTACCCCCGGTGTTAGTGGTGTGACGTGAGTCCGGCCCTACCCCCGGTGTGAGTGGTGTGACGTGAGTCCGGCCCTACCCCCGGTGTTAGTGGTGTGACGTGAGTCCAGCCCTACCCCCGGTGTTAGTGGTGTGACGTGAGTCCGGCCCTACCCCCGGTGTTAGTGGTGTGACGTGAGTCCGGCCCTACCCCCGGTGTTAGTGGTGTGACGTGAGTGCGGCCCTACCCCCGGTGTTAGTGGTGTGACGTGAGTCCGGCCCTACCCCCGGTGTTAGTGGTGTGACGTGAGTCCAGCCCTACCCCCGGTGTTAGTGGTGTGACGTGAGTCCGGCCCTACCCCCGGTGTTAGTGGTGTGACGTGAGTCCGGCCCTACCCCCGGTGTTAGTGGTGTGACGTGAGTCCGGCCCTACCCCCGGTGTGAGTGGTGTGACGTGAGTCCGGCCCTACCCCCGGTGTTAGTGGTGTGACGTGAGTCCAGCCCTACCCCCGGTGTTAGTGGTGTGACGTGAGTCCGGCCCTACCCCCGGTGTTAGTGGTGTGACGTGAGTCCGGCCCTACCCCCGGTGTTAGTGGTGTGACGTGAGTCCGGCCCTACCCCCGGTGTTAGCGGTGTGACGTGAGTGCGGCCCTACCCCCGGTGTTAGTGGTGTGACGTGAGTCCAGCCCTACCCCCGGTGTTAGTGGTGTGACGTGAGTGCGGCCCTACCCCCGGTGTGAGTGGTGTGACGTGAGTTCGGCCCTACCCCCGGTGTTAGTGGTGTGACGTGAGTCCAGCCCTACCCCCGGTGTTAGTGGTGTGACGTGAGTCCAGCCCTACCCCCGATGTGAGTGGTGTGACGTGAGTGCGGCCCTACCCCTGGTGTTAGTGGTGTGACGTGAGTCCGGCCCTACCCCCGGTGTTAGTGGTGTGACATGAGTCCAGCCCTACCCCCGGTGTTAGTGGTGTGACGTGAGTGCGGCCCTACCCCCGGTGTTAGTGGTGTGACGTGAGTGCGGCCCTAACCCCGGTGTGAGTGGTGTGACGTGAGTCCAGCCCTACCCCCGGTGTTAGTGGTATGACGTGAGTCCGGCCCTACCCCCGGTGTTAGTGGTGTTACGTAAGTGCGGCCCTACCCCCGGTGTTAGTGGTGTTACGTGAGTGCGGCCTTACCGCCGGTGGCCCATGACGATCATGCGCAGCTTGTCGCCCAGGTCCTGCATCTCGTGGATCTGGACGAACGTCCCCACGGGGTGGATCTCGTCAAGACTGCTCACCGCGTCCGCCTCGTTACTGCACAGAGACACACACAATCATAAAGACGCCCCCCCGTATAACCTCAACCGACTTTTATGAAAATGCACGTACGTTGAATTTCTTTTGCACCGTACATAGCCAACTGAGCTAATCGGAGATGCGAAAAGTGTTCTTAGTGTGCACAAATGAAGGCCGGAACGGCACACGAGGGGGTGGGTCGCCAGCACCACGCCCGGCCCCCTTTTTCTCCCGAATGGCGATGTTTACACACCGCACCAGGTACTCATTTGAGGCTGAGTCGACCTAGGGGAGGTTCCAGGACGGTTTGCTCAGGTAGCTGGGTTGATGGTGCAGCGCGCTAACCACTGCACCACCGCTCCCCACACACACCCCATCAGAGCTCCTCACACACAGTAGACACACGGGTGGTGATTGCCATGCAATGAACACCTCAGCAGCAGGATGTGTGACTCAATAACACCCCCTGCTGTGGATACGAAGCAAATGAACAGACCTCAGAAGCAGTGGTGAGGCCATTCTGTAACACGGGGTGCTAGTCTGCTATCTTTGGTGACAACAGGGCACCCATTTGCCTACGGGTGGCATATAGTTAAATGTTGTTTGTGATACTCCCTGGGCAGTGCTGCACAAGCACAAAAGTGGTGGGGGTGGTGGTGGGGATGGTGGGGGGGGTGGTGGTGATGGTGGTGGGGATGGTGGTGGTGGGGGTGATGGTGGCGGTGATGGTGGTGGTGATGGTAGTGGTGGTGGTAGTGGTGGGGGTGGTGGGGATGGTGGTGGTGGTGATGGTGGTGGTAATGGTGGGTGTGGTGGTAGTGGTGGGGGTGGTGGTGGGGATGGTGGTGGTAGGGGTGGTGGTAGTGGTGGGGGTGGTGGTAGTGGTGGGGGTGGTGGTAGTGGTGGGGGTGGTGGTGGGGATGGTGGTGGTGATGGTGGTGGTGGTAGTGGTGGTGGTAGTGGTGGGGGTGGTGATGGTGGTGGTGGTGGTAGTGGTGGGGGTGGTGGTAGTGGTGGGGATGGTGGGGGTGGTGGTGATGGTAGTGGTGGGGGTGGTGGTAGTGGTGGGGGTGGTGGTGGGGGTGGTGGTGATGGTAGTGGTGGGGGTGGTGGTGATGGTAGTGGTGGGGGTGGTAGTGGTGGGGGTGGTGGTGGTCTCCACACCTGTCGTCTCGCTTGAGGAAGACCCCCGCGTAGGGCTGCGCGAGCCGAACCTTCCTCCTCAACAGCTCCATCAGCTCCTTGTTCTTCACCTACACGGACAAAACAACCAAAGACAAAGACCACCCCCCCGTATAGCCTTGAACAGACTGTTGGGGCAAGTGCTGTTTGCGAGCACCTATGAAGGCTGGCACGATACGCAGGGTATTGGTGGCCAGCATCACATCCGGCGATGTTTACACACCGCACCAGGTACTCATTTGAGGCTCAGTCGACGTAGGGGAGGCCCAGGACCGTTTCAGATGATTGTCACTGGTGTTGGCTTTGAGCGGGAATCGAACTCGGGTCGCTGGGTTCTTCGAACAGCGAACTAACCGCTACACTCCCACCTTCACGGGCACACGCGTAAACACAGCCATCACTATTCCTCACCACCACGAGTTATTGCAAACTCTCAACGCCCAACCCTAGCAATAACCACTCACCACCACGAGCCACCACAACCAGCATCTTCAAGATCATTACCCCGAGTCATCATCACGAGTCGTCACCAAACAAAGATACCCTCTACAGCCTTAACAGAAACAGGATTTATCCACTAATCTGGCTGCCGCCTGATGATACCGGTTGTAATTACGAGCAAAACGTCGTACTCAGATTGTAAATGTTGTGGCTTTGCTCTACTAGTAACGAATTGCCATGTTTTGTTTTCGTGACAAACCTTTACTAATTGGCTGTGTCGGGTGGTGGTGGGTTTAACGACACATTTTTATTTACGCGATCTAACCCAAAGAGAAAAAAAACCTGTTATGGATATTTGTCGCGAAAGCGTACTACGTGTGAAACAGCCTTAACAGATATAGAAATAGGTTTTACCCTTTTAACTGCCACAAAAAAAAGCCTTAACAGACTGTAGGGACAAGCGCTGTTAGCGAGCAGCACCTACGAAGGCCGGCACGGCACACGAGGGGGTGGGTGGCCAGCACCACCACAACCAGCACCATCATTACCCAGAGCCATCACCTCTCACTCACCACTCTCCACCTCGACCACACAGCACCGCACTCGTCACTGGACGTAGCTTTACCATCAACAAACACAAAACACAAATCACTCATCACCCCCGCGGTGCAAGCGAGGGGACGGGGTGGTGAAAGTCAACAGTTGGAAGGGCAGATCATTCTAGAATCTAGGTGGCGGAGTGACGGCGGGAGGTTGAACGTCGAATGGCATTGCACGAGTCAAGTGTCAGTGAGTGTGTAAGATGTTTGAAGGGTACTGGGGGGGGGGGCGTTGCGGGTGAGACTACGGTTGAGTGTTGGAAGCTGTCATTGAGCGTGGATGGAGCGCTGAGTGCTCACCGCACCTCCGATTAGCACGGGTGGCTTCCGTAGGGTGCGAACGAAGTTCAACGTAACACACACCAGCGAGAGTGACAGCACAAGCAGAGATAGATGGACTGTGTGTGTGTGAGGGGAGCCGATGAGCCTTCACCTCGATGATCTTAATGAAGCGCGGGAACACGGGGTTGCGCGACACGGCGATCGCGGGCACGTTGGGGAAAATTTCTGGCACCACGAGCGTCGCCAGCGCCGTGATCCCGGGCGAGGAGAAGGCGGCGCCGCCGCCGCCGTCCCCGCTTCCCGCCTCCTCGCCACCGCCCGAACCCTCGGCCGCATCGTCTCCCCCGAGGCCTCGAGCCCCGCGGTCGCCTCCCTCGCTCCGCCCGGACGCGAGGCGCCGCGGCGGGCGCTGCGGCCATCCCAGCTCGGTGACCCCGCGCGGCCTCTGCCCGACGCCCCCGTACGCCCCGCAAGACGCCGGCACGGCCGAACTCAGGGCCCGCACGCAGCGCGGCGCCTGAGCCGCGGCTCCACGGCGCGGCCGGCAGAGCGACGATCCCCGCGGAGGTGCGAGCCCCATCAGCCGGAGCCCCGAGCGCGCCCCGCGCAGCGCTGCCCCAGCCATCGCCGCCATGCCGACTCTCGTCCCCAACGCACGCACACACGTGTGTGTGTGTGTGCGACGCCGGGCTCCGGGTGGAAACACGACCGGGGTGGGGGGGGGGGTGCCCGAAAGGTTCCGGGCCGCGGTGACGCAACCGCGGAGCAACAGCGCGTGATGTAACGCGGTGAAGGATCCACGTGGTCAATGATGCGGCGGCGGCTCCACTGCTGGATGAACGCCTCGTACGTGGGACGACGTCCTCGTACGTGGGACGACGTCCTCGTACGTGGGACGACGTCCTCGTACGTGGGACGACGTCCTCGTACGTGGGACGACGTCCTCGTACGTGGGACGACGTCCTCGTACGTGGGACGACGTCCTCGTACGTGGGACGACGTCCTCGTACGTGGGACGCGTTTCATCCCACCAGGCTGCCACTCCGTCATTAGTCTCTGCCATCGTCCCGTCTGTCCCCCCGTGGGAAATTCCACGTTCCTCTGGCGTAGAGATGATGATGATGAGCCTGCATACCTGCCAACCCATACGGTTGAGCCGTATTCCTGTACAAGCAAATTGAGTGTACAGGCTCCCTACGGCGTTAAGCCGTTTCGAATTTCAACTTTCAATGCGTGCAAAATAAACATGTTCTGTTTGTATTTCTCCCTTGCGATAGGACTTTGTAGGATGAATGTTGAGATTCGTCAGGGCACGGGGTGGCCAATAAGTTCGAGGCACTGATAAGGGATGGACAGCGACTCAACTCAACACCAACAAACATTCTTAGCTCTTTCGGTAAAGTCACGTTGAAGGGAAACAATAAAATATATTAACGTGACTTTACCGAAAGAGCTAAGAATGTGAATTACTGCAGTCACGAAAGCTTTAAATCAAAATAAAAACCAACAAATATTGTTCTTTCCCACCGTGACGCAATCCTTGCCTTTGGGGCCGTCCATAAATGACGTCACGCACCTGGGGGGGGGGGGTCAGACATTTGTGACGATGCGTGACGAGTGGGGGGGGGTTGAGAAATGTGACGTCACGCCAAAACGCGCAACTTTAAATAAATATAGACAACACGTTCTTACTTAAATTTCGACTTAAAGCTTTCGTGACTGCAAGGATTTATCTTCTTGGTTCTTTCGGTCAAGTCACCACGTAGAATGAGAATAAAACAAAATAAGACAATAAAATTCTCACGACGTTTCGGCCACAACACAAGTAGACTTCTTCAGGTGAAGGAACAGAACTGTCGGGACGACAGCGCTGCTAAGATTCGCAGCGTCTTGAAGCGCTCAGCTGATTGGAGAGTTTATAGAGTTTATTGATAACATTGATGTATATTCTTAGTTTTTTCGGTAAAGTCACGTTGAAGAGAAACAGCAAAATAATAAAATATATATAAAACAATAAAAAATTCACGACGTTTCGACCATTATGGTGACGATGCGTGACGAATGGGGGGGGGGGACCATTATGGTCGAAACGTCGTGAGAATTTTTTTTATTGTTTTATATATATTTTATTATTTGGTTGTTTCTCTTCAACGTGACTTTACCGAAAAAACTAAGAATATTAATTACTGCAGTCACGAAAGCTTTAAATCAAAACATTGATGTAGTTTATATTTTAGTTTTTTATTAGTTTACTATATGGTATTCATTATATAGAGTAGTGTATACCCAGTTACTTTGTTTATAGCTCAACTTATTGAAGAATATATTGAGTATATTTATTATATTGATGTAGTTTATACTTAGTTTTTTTTCACATCGGTTTACTGTATGATAGTTGAGTAGTTGCAGTCCTTTAGCGTCCATATACTAAATGCCTCTGTTGATATGTAAACTTTGACTTTAACATAGCCATTCCTGTGACCAGTCACAAGCTAATCCCTCAGCTATTTAAATGCTAAATTCTCCTGTTTGATATGTAAACTCCTTTGTCAAGGCGCTTTACTTCTCTCACCTAGCTTAAAAGACTCTGCGAATCTTAGCAGCGTTCATTGAAGCGCTGTCGTCCCGACAGTTCTGTTCCTTCACCTGAAGAAGGCTACTTGTGTGGCCGAAACGTCGTGAGAATTTTGTTTTATTCTCATTCTACGTGACTTCACCGAAAGAACCAAGAAGACGTTCTACTTAATTAAAGAGACTTTTTAATAAATGTTTTATCCTACAACATCAGAGTGCAGCGCCACATTAAATACGCACAATGACAATAGTTTAAAGCGATTTGAAGCATGTTTTATTTGGGGGGGGGGGGCAGAGCTTTGTGACGTCATATTTGTGGGGCGTCTGACTTTTTGTGACGCCGTGTGACGAAGGGGGGGGGATCAAAAATCGCGTGACGTCATTTATGGACGGCCCTTTTCCCCTCTCCCTCGGGAGCGTCTTCACCTTGCCGCGGGGTCACCTGCAACCGGCTCGGACGGCCGTGTGAGTCAAGCGCGCGAGTCGTGCACCCTCCTCCACCCGACACAGCCAGGCTTTAAGTTTATTTTGGTATAGCCCTGTGAGCCATTCGGCTCTTGAATCGGAGTGCAACCACAACAAACAAAACAAAAACACGAACAAGAAAAGCATCTTAAAGTGACTATGTGTGACCGTGCAAACAGAACACGTGAACAAAGGTGCGCATTTATTATTTACAATTCTCTATCACGACACGGAGGTATAAAGGAATGTTGGCACTCGAAATGTATTGGCCAAGGGAAGGATCCTGCATCAAAGCTGAACACAAACAGTGCCAAACGCAGAAGAAAATGTCGTGCGGAGAAGAGGACGACGTGACGATGGTGATGCAGGGAGTGATGAGAAGGAAACTGGCACGAATTCGGACACGCGTGTAGGATGGACAACAGTAAAATTAAGTGCGTGTTGTTTGGAAAAAAAATGGAAGGATACGGAAGATGGGGACCTCAGGGGCCGTCCATAAATGACGTCACGCGATTTTGGAAGATTTCCCCCCCCACCCATTCGTCACAAAAGTCAGACCCCCCCTTAAATATGACGTCACAAAGCTCTGCCCCCCCCCTCCCCCATCACATTTCTCAACCCCCGCCCCGCCGTCACACATTGTCACAAATGTCAGACCCACGCCCCGAGGTGCGTGACGTCATTTATGGACGGCGCCTAACAGAGAATGGCGTGACGGCGTCGAGAGAGATTGGTGCCAGGACGACGTGGCCACGACTTGAGAATATTGTCGGCACAGGACAAGAGGAAAGCGGAAACGAATGACGACACCTACGGGGCCATCCGCCCATGGATCGTGATGATGAGTACTGACACACCTTAGTTGCGAAAGCCTGCGTGTAACCGACTGTTCACTTGCTGCTGGAAGCCCCATCCCGTTTGTTTAAAAATATAAATTGCCATCGAGTTCCACTGTCCAGGATGTGGAAGGTGTGCAGAGAGATGGATTTGTACTGTTATGTTGAACTTCTATCGCACCGCACGTACCCAACCGCCCTCATCAAGATGTGGATGGGAAGGACAACAAACCAAACCACAGGAGGCCGTTCTGAACAAATTAGTTTTTTTCAATCAAGCTAATGCTGTGAAAGTGCATCGCTCCCAGTGGCTTGCGAATATCGGAGGAGCGTTCCAGACGGCCGTAGAAAGCGCATCCGAAAGCGCGCGATGCGGCGACCGCCTTTGTTCGCCGGCCGGCCAAACGCGGGCGAGGCGCTGCGGGGTGGCGCGTTCGTAACGGAGACCATCTTGTTGTCCCCTTGCCCGCCTCCTCTTCCTCCCTCCTCTTGACGACGGCCAGCGGTTCGAGACTGGTGACGGAATTGCAGGCAAAGGCGCAAGATGGGAGTGATGGGAACGGCCCGCGCGCCGGCGCTGGTTGGATCGTTTCGGTCGCAGGATCGCGATAGCAGGCGACGGATTGGGGAAACCTTCGCCCAGCAGTGGATTGATCGTCGCTGCCGCTTGCCGATGATGCTGATGAACGAAGGAGGCGGCGACACCTTTATCTTGCTTATAAGAGCCCTTTAATCGACCAACCTTTATTTAAACAACACAATTGCAAGTTACCACTTCACAGAAATGGCTAAAAACCTTTTTTTTTGTACAGGAAGCGTCCTCGTGGGACTCGGGGGAGAGACGGGCGCTCGGCTTTGGTTCACAGGCACAAGTCGCTCACCGCATGGGTACACTCACCACACGGGTACACTCACCACAAGAGTTGTCACCACGTGGGTACACTCACCACACGAGCACACTCACCACACGGGCACACTCACCACACGGGCACACTCACCACACGGGCACACTCACCACACGGGCACACTCACCACACGGGTACACACCACACGGGTACACTCACCACACGGGTACACTCAACACACTCACCACATGGGTACACTCAACAGACTTACTACACGGGTACACACCGCACGGGCACACTCACCACATCCGCTACATGGGTTATACACCAAACCACACTCACGACACTCACCACTCGGGTACAATGTAACACTTGCCATGTGGGTGCATGCGCAAGACAGGGACTCTCTGTACCATACTGGCCACACTCTCGTGCAGTACTCAGTGCTTAAATTGGTCCATGCATAGGTCCCTCTCTCCCTGGGTCTCTCTTTTGAGTCACTCACTCAATGAACGACTCACTCCCTTGGTCACTCACCCCCTTGGAAACTCAATTACAAAAGTCATCCGTTGACTGGGTCACCCACTGACTGGGTTACCCACCGAGTCACCCGCCGCTACAACGTTGGTCCCTCGCTCGCTCTCCGCCCGACATGGTAGCGGCGTCAGAGCGAGGTTCGGGGGGTTGGGCTGGGTGGTGGCTGCCACCCTCTCGCCGTACCGCACAGCAACTGCACGCACACCGCTCGACCGGCAACCGAATCACCCGCACCGCAAGCCACCGCTGCCGATCACCACAAACCACCACCAACCACCGGACAGCACTAACCAGGTAGCACCACCACCACCACCACCACCGCCGCCGCCACTGCACACACACACACGCGACAATAACTTAACCCACGGCCCGGCTCCTGGTGTGGCCAGAGCACCAGGGCATGAGCTGTAAACACGGCTGAAGTAGGAAGGTGCTAACCGCTCACCGCAGACACTCACACAACACGGACTAAGGTCCCCCCTCACCACTGTGTGGTTCACACAGACGACTGGGGGGAAAAGTGCTGTTCGCGAGAACCTATTAAAGCCGGCGTGAGGCGGTGGGGTGGACGTGGCGCTGGCCACTTCCGCCCGGCCGCCTTTCGTCGCCACCAAGTGCCGACGTTTTAACGCGCCGCGGAGTGGAGCTCGCTCGAGGCCGAGTAGACCTAGGGGAGAGGCACAAGATGGGTTCAGATACCACGCGCCACTGACGGCAGGGCACGGGGGGACTTGAACTCGATGCGCGGTGCGTGAAGCGCTGCGCCACCACTCCTCAAAGGCAATGTTCAAGCACGCACGGAGGGGCAGAGGGGGGAGATAGTCGTGCCCCCTCCCCCCCCACCACAGTGACTCTCCGACCCCCGCTCTTCTCACGACGCCAAATGCTCAGATTCCTCGATCTCCTGGAGTAGAAACTTCAACGAGGCATGGATCTGCAAACATATGAACACACACATAAACATAGAAGACAAAGACCCCCCCCGTATAGCTTTAACAGACTGTTGGGGCAAGTGCTGTTAGCGAGCACCAATGAAGGGCGACACGGCACACGAGGGGGTGGGTGGCCAGCACCACGCCCGGCCGCCTTTGTCTCTGCAATGGCGATATTTACACATCAGACCTGGTCCTCATTTGAGGCTGAGTTGACCTAGGGGAGGCCCAGGACTGGTTCAACAAATCGTCACTGGTGTTGTCCGTGAGCGGGAATCGAATTCAGGTCGCCGGGTTTGTAGCGCAGCGCACTAACCGCTACCACGACTACTCCCCCACTACTACACACGCACACACATACATATATATAAAAGAAAGCACTCGCATCCATGCACAAGGGGGGGTTACTATGGGGAAATGTGGACTCAGTGGATGGTGCTTCAAGGGGGGCACAGTGGGGGTCATGGTGGTCACGGGTGGTGGGGGGGGGGTACTCACGCTGTTCAGCCTCGCCATGTTGGTTGAGACTTCTCGGAGGAAGTCGAAGTCGGCGCTGCCGCCACCGATAGGCCCTTCGGCACCAGTGCCACCGTCAGCGCCGCCATTGCCACCGCCAACACCACCAGCAGCTCCGCCTCTGTCTCCTCCTCCTCTGTCTCCTGTGTTCCCCACACCCCCCACTCCCACCCCTACATCCCACTTGGGGTTTGAGCTCTCCGGCACATTCAGCCTGAAGGTCAAAGGTCACGCATTGGGAGGGGGAGAAGGGGGGCGGGTCACACGCAGGGTCACGAGCAGGATCACGAGCGGGAGGTCGAGGGCAGGGTCGCGCACACCTGCGTCCGAAATGGTGCGGTGCGTGGCGGTGTGAGGAGCGACGGTGCACGGTTTGTGGTGTTGCTGGTGTGGTTTATTGGGGGCGGTGTGTCAGGGTGCTCTCGCGTGGGCGGCATCGTGGCGCGGGGGCGAGCGGTCCAGTTGTGCGGCGGCAGCGTGGGCAGAGCGGTGCAAGGTGGCATGCGATGGTGATCGTGGCGCGGTGGTCGCGCGGTGCGGTCGGACGGTCAGCGGCGCAGTGCGTGCCGTGCCGCGGGTGGCGTATGTCGTGTTGGCACAGTAGCGGGGGGGGGCACAGCTGCCGCATCCGCCAGTCATCTCCGTCGGTCAACCCACGGCACCTGCTGGGTCTGTCCCGTGACCTCCTCCTGTCACTTCACGTGGCCTCAAAATCAACCTGGCCTGGCACAGGCGCCGTGGTGACGTCACCGCCACCTGGTGGCGAATGGCGCGGTGTTGGTATGCGACGTGTGCCGTGTTACCGCGGGGCGTTGGGTGCCGTCGTGGTGCGGGGACCACTCACCCGGAGGCAAGCAGGCGTTCCTCCAGACAAACGAGCTTGTACGCCAGGAAACACGACAGGAGGAAGAGGACGACCACCCTACAGGGGCGGCGGTGGATGCCGCGCGGGGGAGGGGAGGCCACGAGGGTTATCGCGCAGCATGGTCGACAGCAACACCTCGACACGCGCGCATTCGACGAGGCAAGTTTCGGCGTAACGAACTTTGGATGCAGCAGCATTACTTGAAAGAGAAGTCTTAAAAATAAGTCAAGTAATAAATAAGCATGCGGAAATTAAAATGCAAATAATACATTTGTCAAACAACGGTACTATATAAAAAAGAATACAATTCTAATAAGATATGGATTCTTGAGCTCTGCACATCGCGAGTGAGTCTCACAGGAGTGTGTACAGGTGAGTGTGAGGGTCTCACAGGAGTGTGTACAGGTGAGTGTGAGGGTCTCACAGGAGTGTGTACAGGTGAGTGTGAGGGTCTCACAGGAGTGTGTACAGGTGAGTGTGAGTCTCACAGGAGTGTGTACAGGTGAGTGTGAGGGTCTCACAGGAGTGTGTACAGGTGAGTGTGTGGGTCTCACAGGAGTGTGTACAGGTGAGTGTGAGTCTCACAGGAGTGTGTACAGGTGAGTGAGGGTCTCACAGGAGTGTGTACAGGTGAGTGTGAGGGTCTCACAGGAGTGTGTACAGGTGAGTGTGAGGGTCTCACAGGAGTGTGTACAGGTGAGTGTGAGGGTCTCAGGAGAGCGTACAGGTGAGTGTGAGGGTCTCACAGGAGTGTGTACAGGCGAGTGTGAGTCTCACAGGAGTGTGTACAGGTGAGTGAGGGTCTCACAGGAGTGTGTACAGGTGAGTGTGAGGGTCTCAGGAGTGTGTACAGGTGAGTGTGAGTCTCACAGGAGTGTGTACAAGTGAGTGTGAGGGTCTCACAGGAGTGTGTACAGGTGAGTGTGAGTCTCACAGGAGTGTGTACAGGTGAGTGTGAGGGTCTCACAGGAGTGTGTACAGGTGAGTGTGAGGGTCTCAGGAGTGTGTACAGGTGAGTGTGAGTCTCACAGGAGTGTGTACAGGTGAGTGTGAGGGTCTCACAGGAGTGTGTACAGGTGAGTGTGAGGGTCTCAGGAGTGTGTACAGGTGAGTGTGTGGGTTTCACAGGAGTGTGTACAGGTGAGTGTGAGTCTCACAGGAGTGTGTACAGGTGAGTGTGAGGGTGTCACAGGAGTGTGTACAGGTGATTGTGAGTCTCACAGGAGTGTGTACAGGTGAGTGTGAGTCTCACAGGAGTGTGTACAGGTGAGTGTGAGTCTCACAGGAGAGTGTACAGGTGAGTGTGAGTCTCACAGGAGTGTGTACAGGTGAGTGTCTCACAGGAGTGTGTACAGGTGAGTGTGAGTGTCTCACAAGAGTGTGTACAGGTAAGTGTAAGGGTCTCACAGGAGTGTGTACAGGTGAGTGTGAGTCTCACAGGAGTGTGTACAGGTGAGTGTGAGTGTCTCACAGGAGTGTGTACAGGTGAGTGTGAGGGTCTCACAGGAGTGTGTACAGGTGAGTGTGAGTCTCACAGGAGTGTGTACAGGTGAGTGTGAGGGTCTTACAGGAGTGTGTACAGGTGAGTGTGAGTCTCACAGGAGTGTGTACAGGTGAGTGTGAGTGTCTCACAGGAGTGTGTACAGGTGAGTGTGAGGGTCTTACAGGAGTGTGTACAGGTGAGTGTGAGTCTCACAGGAGTGTGTACAGGTGAGTGTGAGTGTCTCACAGGAGTGTGTACAGGTGAGTGTGAGGGTCTCACAGGAGTGTGTACAGGTGAGTGTGAGTCTCACAGGAGTGTGTACAGGTGAGTGTGAGGGTCTTACAGGAGTGTGTATACGAGCAGCACGTTGTGCATGAGCGCGGAGTCCCCCACATGCATGCGCCGGGACCACCGCGTCAGACGCGCGCGCACAGAGCCTAGTGGGGTGGGGGGGGGGGGTCGGGGGGGAGTAGACAAAGGGTGAGCCCAGGCAGAGAGATCGTGAGACAACTCGTTACAGATGAGGCGTCGTGGCCGTGAGGGCGCCCGATGGTCACCCAGTGGCTACGCTGCACTTGGCTGCCTGCAATTCAGCGCCGTGGAGGCGGCAGCGAGGGTCAGTGGATCACACGCAAACGTCGTGAAACTCCCTCCTTCCCGTGGGAGTCGAGGAGGTGCCGAACCCTGGCTCGCCACGAGAGGGCGGTAGAGTGCGTGGACTAATCACCATCTGTTTCCAATCTGTACGGGGACGGAGCGTTGCCCCCTCAGGCGCGTGAGTTTTCTCCGGGTGCTCCGGTTTCCTCCGACGTGTGTAAAAAACACACTCGTCATTCATTGGTTGAAGAGGTCTTCAAATAAAATCCAACGGAGCAGGACTCTCCGAAATAATTGTCTTACGACTCGGTGTGTGTATGCGAGATGAATGCGGTGTGTGTGGTGTGCGCATGTGTGTTCTATTGTGTGCATGTATGCGTGTATGTATATATAGCCTGGCACAACCGCCGTGGTGATGTCACCGCCACTTAGTGGTGAATGGCGGTTGTTGTTATGTATGTGGGGTGAGTGTGTGTGTGGTGTGTGTATGGTGTGCGCGTGTGTACTATATTGTGTATGTATGTATGCGAGGTGAATGTGGTGAGATTGTGTATGTATACATGTTGAACTTCTTTCGCACTATACGTAGGCAACCTTGTGTGTTGTGTTTGTATGTTTGTGCGTGTGTAGGTATGCGTGGTGAGTGTGGTGAGTGTGGTGAGCATCGCACCTCCATGGAAGCTCGACTTGAGGCGTCGTCGGGAGCTGGAGTCACCCTCACCCACCTCGTCCACCCCACGGTGCACGTCCACCAGCCGCTCTTCACACACACGTACACACATGTAGACACATGTAGACACGTACACATGTAATAATGAGACAGATCCCCCTTGTAGCCTACAAACGATGTTGGTGGTGAGGATGATGCTCATGTGTGTGTGTGTAGGGCACAGCGCTTTGCACACTGCACTTCAAACCCAGCCACCTGAGATTGATTCTCGCTCGTGCCCAATAAGTGAATAATTTTTGAGCTGGTATGGCAGTGCATGTATATATGTGTACAGTATATGCAAGTGTGTGTGTACGCCAATGCATGCCACTGTCTGTGTTTGTGTGCGCGAGCATCACTCTTTAACGCTACTGCCCGATGCTGAGCTGGCTGGGCAAGTGTTGCTGGAATATGTAAGTGTGTGTGCATGTGTGCGCGTGTGTGCCAGGGGTGCGTGGTGATGTAGTGGTTAGTGCGTAGCACTCTGTACGCAGCGACCAGGGTTCAATTCCTGCTCACGGCCACCAACAACAGTGATGATAATATGAATCGATTCTGGGTCTCGGTTGGTGTGTAAACATCACCGCGAAAGAGATAAAGGGCGTGGTGCTGGAACACCCACCCCTTCGTACTCGCTAGCAGCACTTGCCCATCAGTCTACAGAGAGGGAAAGAAGTATTTAATCCCCTGCTGATTTTGTACGTTTGCCCACTGACAGAGAAATGATCAGTCTATAATTTTAATGTTATGTTTATTTGAACAGTGAGAGATAGAATAACAAAAACATCCAGAAAAACGCATGTCAAAAATGTTATAAATTGATTTGCATTTTAATGAGGGAAATAAGTATTTGACCCCTCTGCAAAACATGACTTAGTACTTGGTGGCAAAACCCTTGTTGGCAATCACAGAGTTCAGACGTTTCTTGTAGTTGACCACCAGGATTGCACACATCTCAGGATAGATTTTGTCCCACTCCTCTTTGCAGATCTTCTCCAAGTCATTAAGGTTTCGAGGCTGACTTTTGGCAACTCGAACCTTCAACTCCCTCCACAGATTTTCTATGGGATTAAGGTCTGGAGCCTGGCTAGGCCACTCCAGGACCTTAATGTGCTTCTTCTTGAGCCACTCCTTTGTTGCCTTGGCCGTGTGTTTTGGGTCATTGTCATGCTGGAATACCCATCCACGACCCATTTTCAATGCCCTGGCTGAGAGGAGATTCTCACCCAAGATTTGACGGTACATGGCCCCGTCCATCGTCCCTTTGATGCGGTGAAGTTGTCCTGTCCCCTTAGCAGAAAAACACCCCCAAAGCATAATGTTTCCACCTCCATGTTTGACGGTGGGGATGGTGTTCATGGGGTCATAGGCAGCATTCCTCCTCCTCCAAACACGGCGAGTTGAGTTGATGCCAAAGAGCTCCATTTTGGTCACATCTGACCACAACACTTTCACCCAGTTGTCCTCTGAATCATTCAGATGTTCATTGGCAAACTTCAGACGGGCATGTATATGTGCTTTCTTGAGCAGGGAGACCTTGCGGGCGCTGCAGGATTTCAGTCCTTCACGGCGTAGTGTGTTACCAATTGTTTTCTTGGTGACTATGGTCCCAGCTGCCATGAGATAATTGATAAGATCTTCCCGTGTAGTTCTGGACCGATTCTTTACCGTTCTCATGATCATTGCAACTCCACGAGGTGAGATCTTGCATGGAGCCCCAGGCTGAGGAAGATTGACAGTTCTTTTGTGTTTCTTCCATTTGTGAATAATCGCACCAACTGTTGTCACCTTCTCACCAAGTTGCTTGGTAATGGTCTTGTAGCCCATTCCAGCCTTGTGTAGGTCTACAATATTGTCCCTGACATCCTTGGAGAGCTCTTTGGTCTTGGCCATGGTGGAGAGTTTGGATCTGATTGATTGATTGCTTCTGTGGACAGGTGTCTTTTATACAGGTAACAAGCTGAGATTAGGAGCACTCCCTTTAAGAGTGTGCTCCTAATCTCAGCTCGTTACCTGTATAAAAGACACCTGGTAGACAGAAATCTTTCCGATTGAGAGGGGGTCAAATACTTATTTCCCTCATTAAAATGCAAATCAATTTATAACATTTTTGACATGCGTTTCTCTGGATTATTTTGTTGTTATTCTGTCTCTCACTGTTCAAATAAACCTACCATTAAAATTATAGACTGATCATTTCTTTATCAGTGGGTAAATGTACAAAATCAGCAGGGGATCAAATACTTTTTTTCCCCTCACTGTATACGTGGGATCTTTGTCTTAGGATGTCAGTGCGTGTGCGAGCATCCATGCGTGAGTGTCGCTCCTCACCGCTGCTGCTGCCGGAGGCCGGGCGCGTGGTGCTGGCCTGAGCGTTCTCGCTGTCGCTAGAGTTGGTGGTGCGCGGAGTGATGGAGCCCGGAGTCTCCACCCACCCAGCCAGACCGTCCACCTCGTCCCCACCGGCCAGCACGACCTGCTAGCCGAAAGACAAAGATCGCCCCGTATAGCCGTAAACTTTTGGGGCAAGTGCTGTTACCGAGCACCTATGAAGGCCGGCACGGCACACGGGGTTCGCGCCTGCTGACGGGAGTTCGATTCCCGCTCACGGCCAACACCAGGGATGATTATCTGACCCAGTCCTGGGCCTTCCCTGAGGTCGACTTAGCCTTAAATAAATACCTGGTGCGGTGTGTAAACATCAGCACACGGGAAACACCCACCCCCTTCTGTACCGTACCGGCCTTCATAGGTGCTCACTAATAGCACTTAACCCAAAAGTCTGTTAAGGCTACGCAGGGGATCTTTGTATAGGTGTGGGGAGCAGTAGTGTAGCGGTTATCACGCTGCGCTACGAACCCGAGTTAAATTCCCACCCACGGCTAACACCAGTGACGATTATCTGAATCGGTCATGGGCCTCCCCCCTAAGTCGACTCGGCCTCAAATGAGTACCTGGTGCAGTGTGGAAAAAATGTCGCCACTATGGAGACAAAAGCGGCCAGCTGTGGTGCTGGCCACACACCTCCTCGTTAGCCGCGCGGGCCTTCATAGGTACTCACTAACAGTACTTCCCCAAACAGTGTGTTAAAGGCTAAATGGGGGATCTTTGTCTTTGTGTCGGTGTGTGTGGGTGTTATTTTCACCAGTGCGAGTGAGTTTGGTCTCTCGGGGTGAGAGAACGCTCCCTCGCTCTCTGGAGACACGCGGCTTAACCCGCCGTGCGTCCCGGACCCCACCTGTTGAACACACGGGGACCCAGAGACACACAGAGACACTCACACAGGGTGGTGACACGTGGGGACACACAGAGACACTCACACAGGGTGGTGACACGTGGGGACACACAGAGACACTCACACAGGGTGGTGACACGTGGGAACACACAGAGACACTCACAGAGCAGTCACATGGGGACGCAGAAACACTCCCACGGGGTGGTGACACGGTAAGCTCCGTATAGTGCAAAAGAAGTTAAACATCCATACATAGAAGGCGATGAGGGGTGAGGCTGATGAGGGGAGGGGATGGCAGGGGGTGGTGGGAGCTGGTGCTCACCAGGTGCTTGCAGACGGAGGCGAGGGCTCGGTGAGTGGCGTCACGTGACATGAGTGACACGAACAGGAACTGGGGTGGGGAGAGACAAACGCGGCGTTAACCCCGCGGTGACCCATTGGCACGTGCCAAGTTAACCCCGCGGTGACCCCGGTGCGTGCCAAGGTAACCCCGCGGTGACCCCGGCGCGTGCTACGTTAACCCGGCGGTGACCACGCGGTGACCCCGCGGTGACCCCGACACGACAGCAGAGATGCAGCCGGGAAGTGGAGTTGTGCAGAGAGACACCGAGCGAGGGGCTCGCCGTGTGGATTGGGCGTGCTCACCTTCTGCCCGTGGTGAGTGGTGACGCACAGCCCGTTGGGCACCAGCATGGCCGTCTTGTGCTTCTTCACTGACTTCACCGAGTCTACGGGGATCACCACCTGAGCCACGGGGACACACCATTATCACTACCCCCACCATCATCACTACCCACACCATCATCACTACCCCCACCATCATCACTACCCCCACCATCATCACTACCCACACCATCATCACTACCCACACCATCATCACTACCCCCACCATCATCACTACCCCCACCATCATCACTACCCACACCATCATCACTACCCACACCATCATCACTACCCCCACCATCATCACTACCCCCACCATCATCACAACCCCCACCATCATCACTACCCACACCATCATCACTACCCTCACCATCATCACTACCCCCACCATCATCACTACGCCCACCATCATCACTACCCCCACCATCATCACAACCATCATCACTACCCCCACCATCATCACTACCCCCACCATCATCACTACCCCCACCATCATCACTACCCACACCATCATCACAACCCCCCACCATCATCACTACCCCCACCATCATCACTACCATCATCACTACCCCCACCATCATCACTACCACCATCATCACTACCATCATCACTACCCCCACCATCATCACTACCCCCACCATCATCACTACCCACACCATCATCACTACCCCCACCATCATCACTACCCACACCATCATCACTACCCCCACCATCATCACTACCACCACCATCATCACTACCCCCACCATCATCACAACCCCCACCATCATCACTACCACCACCATCATCACTACCCCCACCATCATCACTACCCACACCATCATCACTACCCACAGCATCATCACTACCCCCACCATCATCACTACCCACACCATCATCACTACCCCCACCATCATCACTACCCCCACCACACCATCATCACAACCCCCACCATCGTCACTACCACCACCATCATCACTACCCTCGCCATCATCACTACCCTCACCATCATCACTACCCACACCATCATCACTACCCCCACCATCATCACTACCATCATCACTACCATCATCACTACCATCATCACTACCCCCACCATCATCACTACCCCCACCATCATCACTACCCACACCATCATCACTACCCCCACCATCATCACTACCATCATCACTATCCCCCACCATCATCACTACCCCCACCATCATCACTACCCCCACCATCATCACTACCCCCACCATCATCACAACCCCCACCATCATCACTACCCTCACCATCATCACTACCCCCACCATCATCACTACCCACACCATCATTACTACCCTCACCATCATCACTACCCTCACCATCATCACTACCCACACCATCATCACTACCCACACCATCATCACTACCCTCACCATCATCACTACCCACACCATCATTACTACCCTCACCATCATCACTACCTTCACCATCATCACTACCCACACCATCATCACAACCCACACTATCATCACTACCATCATCACTACCCTCACCATCATCACTGCCCCCACCATCATCACTACCCCCACCATCATCACTACCCACACCTTCATCACTACCCACACCATCATCACTACCCACACCATCATCACTACCCCCACCATCATCACTACCCACACCATCATCACAACCCACACCATCATCACTACCCCCACCATCATCACTACCCTCACCATCATCACTACCCCCACCATCGTCACTACCACCACCATCATCACTACCCTCGCCATCATCACTACCCCCACCATCATCACTACCCACACCATCATCACTACCCACACCATCATCACTACCCCCACCATCATCACTACCCCCACCATCATCACAACCCCCACCATCATCACTACCCACACTATCATCACTACCCTCACCATCATCACTACCATCATCACTACCCACACCATCATCACTACCCCCACCATCATCACTACCCCCACCATCATCACTACCCCCACCATCATCACTATCCCCACCATCATCACTACCCACACCATCATCACTATCCCCACCATCATCACTACTCACACCATCATCACAACCCACACTATCATCACTACCATCATCACTACCCTCACCATCATCACTACCCTCACCATCATCACTACCCACACCATCATCACTACCCACACCATCATCACTACCCCCACCATCATCACTACCCCCACCGTCATCACAACCCACACCATCATCACTACCCCCACCATCATCACTACCCTCACCATCATCACTACCCACACCATCATCACAACCCACACCATCATCACTACCCCCACCATCATCACTACCCTCACCATCATCACTACCCCCACCATCGTCACTACCACCACCATCATCACTACCCTCGCCATCATCACTACCCACACCATCATCACTACCCACACCATCATCACTACCCCCACAATCATCACTACCACCATCATCACAACCCCCACCATCATCACTACCCACACTATCATCACTACCCTCACCATCATCACTACCCCCACCATCATCACTACCCCCACCATCATCACTACCCCCACCATCATCACTACCCCCACCATCATCACAACCCCCACCATCATCACTACCCCCACCATCATCACTACCCCCACCATCATCACTACCCCCACCATCATCACTACCCCCACCATCATCACAACCCCCACCATCATCACTACCCCCACCATCATCACAACCCACACCATCATCACTACCTCCACCATCATCACTACCCTCACCATCAACACTACCCCCACTATCATCACTACCCCCACCATCATCACTACCCTCACCATCATCACTACCCTCACCATCATCACTACCCCCACTATTATCACTACCCCCACCATCATCACTACCCTCACCATCATCACTACCCTCACCATCATCACTACCCCCACCATCATCACTACCATCATCACTACCCCCACTATTATCACTACCCCCACCATCATCACTACCCCCACCATCATCACTACCCACACCATCATCACTACCCTCACCATCATCACTACCCCCACCATCATCACTACCCACACCATCATCACTACCCCCACCATCATCACTACCCCCACCATCATCACTACCCCCACCATCATCACTACCACCACTATCATCACTACCCACACTATCATCACTACCCTCACCATCATCACTACCCCCACCATCGTCACTACCACCACCATCATCACTACCCTCGCCATCATCACTACCCCCACCATCATCACTACCCACACCATCATCTCTACCCACACCATCATCACTACCCCCACCATCATCACTACCCCCACCATCATCACAACCCCCACCATCATCACTACCCACACTATCATCACTACCCTCACCATCATCACTACCATCATCACTACCCACACCATCATCACTACCCCCACCATCATCACTACCCCCACCATCATCACTACCCCCACCATCATCACTATCCCCACCATCATCACTACCCACACCATCATCACTATCCCCACCATCATCACTACTCACACCATCATCACAACCCACACTATCATCACTACCATCATCACTACCCTCACCATCATCACTTCCCTCACCATCATCACTACCCACACCATCATCACTACCCACACCATCATCACTACCCCCACCATCATCACTACCCCCACCATCATCACAACCCACACCATCATCACTACCCCCACCATCATCACTACCCTCACCATCATCACTACCCACACCATCATCACTACCCACACCATCATCACTACCCCCACCATCATCACTACCCTCACCATCATCACTACCCCCACCATCGTCACTACCACCACCATCATCACTACCCTCGCCATCATCACTACCCTCACCATCATCACTACCCACACCATCATCACTACCCACACCATCATCACTACCCCCACAATCATCACTACCCCCACCATCATCACAACCCCCACCATCATCACTACCCACACTATCATCACTACCCTCACCATCATCACTACCCCCACCATCATCACTACCCCCACCATCATCACTACCCCCACCATCATCACTACCCCCACCATCATCACAACCCCCACCATCATCACTACCCCCACCATCATCACTACCCCCACCATCATCACTACCCCCACCATCATCACTACCCCCACCATCATCACAACCCCCACCATCATCACTACCCCCACCATCATCACAACCCACACCATCATCACTACCTCCACCATCATCACTACCCTCACCATCATCACTACCCCCACTATCATCACTACCCCCACCATCATCACTACCCTCACCATCATCACTACCCTCACCATCATCACTACCCCCACTATTATCACTACCCCCACCATCATCACTACCCTCACCATCATCACTACCCTCACCATCATCACTACCCTCACCATCATCACTACCCCCACCATCATCACTACCATCATCACTACCCCCACTATTATCACTACCCCCACCATCATCACTACCCCCACCATCATCACTACCCACACCATCATCACTACCCTCACCATCATCACTACCCCCACCATCATCACTACCCACACCATCATCACTACCCCCACCATCATCACTACCCCCACCATCATCACTACCCCCACCATCATCACTACCACCACTATCATCACTACCCTCACCATCATCACTACCCACACCATCATCACTACCCCCACCATCATCACTACCCCCACCATCATCACTACCCCCACCATCATCACTACCCTCACCATCATCACTACCCTCACCATCATCACTACCCCCACCATCATCACTACCCCCACCATCATCACTACCCCCACCATCATCACTACCCCCACCATCATCACTACCCTCACCATCATCACTACCCTCACCATCATCACTACCCCCACCATCATCACTACCCCCACCATCATCACTACCCCCACCATCATCACTACCCACACCATCATCACTACCACCACCATCATCACTACCACCACCATCATCACTACCCACACCATCATCATTACCATCATCACTACCCACACCATCATCACAACCCCCACCATCATCACTACCCACACCATCATCACTACCATCATCACTACCCACACCATCATCACTACCCTCACCATCATCACTACCCACACCATCGTCACTACCCTCACCATCGTCACAACCCCCACCATCATCACTACCCCCACCATCATCACTACCCCCACCATCATCACTACCCACACCATCATCACTACCACTACTATCATCACTACCCACACCATCATCAGTACCCACACCATCATCACTACCCTCACCATCATCACTACCCACACCATCATCACTACCCCCACCATCATCACTACCCCCACCATCATCACTACCCACACCATCATCACTACCACCACCATCATCACTACCCACACCATCATCAGTACCCACACCATCATCACTACCCTCACCATCATCACTACCCACACCATCATCACTACCCCCACCATCATCACTACCCCCACCATCATCACTACCCCCACCATCATCACTACCCTCACCATCATCACTACCCCCACCATCATCACTACCCACACCATCATCACTACCACCACTATCATCACTACCCACACCATCATCAGTACCCACACCATCATCACTACCCTCACCATCATCACTACCCTCACCATCATCACTACCCTCACCATCATCACTACCCACACCATCATCACTACCACCACTATCATCACTACCCACACCATCATCAGTACCCACACCATCATCACTACCCTCACCATCATCACTACCCACACCATCATCACAACCCCCACCAGTACCGCTACCCCCACCAGTACCGCTACCCACACCATCATCACTACCCCCACCGGCAACACCATAACCATCACTAACACCACCACCATCAATACCAGCAACACCATCATCACCAGCACCTCCATCACTGCTACTGCCACCCCCTCCTCACAAGACACCTTCACCCCCACACCCCCGGCCCCCCACCCTGCCGTGGACCTCCACCTTGATGTCGCGACCGAAGAAGTTTGCGTAGAAGCAGACCCAGCGTGCCGAGATGAAGAGACGGCCGTGGAAGAGCATGTCCTTCTGCAGCGCGCACGAGAACGCTGTGGAGAGCACCACCATCAACATGGTCATCAACACCATCACCAACGCCATCCCGAGAGAATGAGTGTGAGCTGCGTGTGTGTGTGCGCGCATGTGAGCTGTGTCTATGTGCATGTGAGCTGTGTCTATGTGCATGTGAGTTGTGTGTGTGTGCGAAAGAGCTATGTGTGTAGGAGTGTGAGGGTGTGCATAGCTGTGTGCGTGTGTGAGTGGGGAGCGGTAGCGTAGTGGTTAGCTCGCTGCGCTACGAACCCGCCGAGCTCAATTCCCGCTCACGGCCTACACCAGTGACAATTATCTTAACCGGTGCTGGGCCTCCCCTAGGTCGACTCAGCATCAAATAAGTACCTGGTGTGATGTGTAACCATCGCCACTGGGGAGACAAAGGCGGTTGGGCGTGGTGCTGGCCACCCATCCCCTCGTGTGCAGTTCCAGCCTTAATAGGTGCTCGCTAACAGCACTTGCCCCAACAATCTGTTAAGGTTATACGCGGGATCTTTGTCTTTGTAGCTGTGTGCTTGTGTGAGTGTGTGTGGCTGTGTGTGAGTGCGTGTGCAGCTGTGTGCTTGTGTGAGTGTGTGTGGCTGTGTGTGAGTGCGTGTACAGCTGTGTGCTTGTGTGAGTGTGTGTGGCTGTGTGTGAGTGCGTGTATAGCTGTGTGCTTGTGTGAGTGTGTGTGGCTGTGTGTGAGTGCGTGTACAGCTGTGTGCTTGTGTGAGTGTGTGTGGCTGTGTGTGAGTGCGTGTACAGCTGTGTGCTTGTGTGAGTGTGTGTGGCTGTGTGTGAGTGCGTGTATAGCTGTGTGCTTGTGTGAGTGTGTGTGGCTGGGTGTGAGTGCATGTATAGCTGTGTGCTTGTGCGAGTGTGTGTGGCTGTGTGTGAGTGCGTGTGTAGCTGTGTGCTTGTGTGAGTGTGTGTGGCTCTGTGTGAGTGCGTGTGTAGCTGTGTGCTTGTGTGAGTGTGTGTGGCTGTGTGTGAGTGCGTGTATAGCTTGTGTGCTTGTGTGAGTGTGTGTGGCAGTGTGTGAGTGCGTGTATAGCTTGTGTGCGTGCGTCTCTCACTGTCGCTGAGCGGTTCGTCTGCCGTCACCTCCTGGAAGAGGCGGTGGAACTGGCCGTTGTACTTCTTCCGGATCTGTGGCCAAACACGCAGAGAACATGCAGAGAGTGAGTGACGGTGAGAGTGTGAGCGGGAGGACGGGTGTCCTAGAGGAAGGGTGGGTTTGCGAGTGAGTGTGCATAAGTCACAGTGAGTGTACGAGTGTGTGTACGAGTGAGTGTACGAGTAAGTGTGTAAGCGGATAAGAGTGTGCTGAGGGTCAATGTACGAGTGGGTGGGTGAGTGTGGCGGTGAGCGTACGGGCGAGTGTGACGGTGAGTGCACGAGCAAGCGGGTGGGCGGGTGAGCGGGTGAGCAGACGAGGTCAGCCGACAGCGGTTGCCAGAGAGTGGGGCAGTGCGTGCGCCAACAACTCTGTGGGTAAACACCGGCACAGGCGGCGTGTTTGAACAGCGCCGGCAGATAACGCCGAGTTGGGCAGAGAGCACGGCCAAACTCTCGGCTTAATCTCCGCCGGGTAAACTCAGGAACTTCCTTTCTCACCGAACGTCCCCGGGTTCGCCAGTGAATCTGAACTGTAGGTTCCGATGACGGAAGAGGCACAAGCGACTGGACCGGTAGTTGTGACCGCAGGCATAGCGAGAGGTGGATGTGGTGGAGAGATTTTTTTTATGGGATATAAACTATTATCCCTTTAATAATAGGGTTTTTCCCCTTTTTTCTGGCAACAAAACTGAAACCTTTTAACAAGGATTCATGTCTGCATTAACCACAATACCTGCAGTCAAAATGAAAAAAAAAACATTCTATGATAATATATGCATTGTCCTTGAAGCTGATTGGTCCACACCAAGGGACGGCTTTCTTTTGAGCCTCGACCCAATTGGTGCTCGACCAGATGACGCCAAAAGGCGTACAGCTGTACGAAAAAAGGGGAAAAACCCTATTATTACATTTTGTGTGGACCAATCAGTTTCAAGGACAATGCATATATTATCATAGTATGTTTTTTGTTTGCATTTTGACTGCAGGTATTGTGGTCAATGGAGACATGAATCCGAGTAAAAAGGTTTCAGTTTTGTTGCCAGAAAAAAGGGGAAAAACTCTATTATTACATTTTGGTACTGGCAAAGGAGGTCTAATGATATTATCTATTTTTTCTAAACAATTTTATTTTACCAGGTAAGGCCCACTGAGCTATGTAGCTCTTTTTCAGAAGCTACCTAACCACAAATGATAGCTCAACGAAGTGTCTTATAACGTTGGAATCTACAGCAGGAAAATACTCGCAACGCGTAATGTTGATTATAAATGTGGAGGGAAAATCCGGAGGGTCCGAACAAAAATCTACGCGGCCACGGGGAGAGAGGGAGACACGCAAACGGAAAATATGCAGCAGCAGGCGTCAGGGTCGGGATCAAACCCACAAGGTAGTTAACACCTCGCCACCGCCAACCCAGACGTTCCCGGTTGAAATGAAGCCACCCAGGTAAGGTGATCACTGTGGGGAAAACCGTCACACCACGCACTCTCTGCCGTTCCCAAGGCACATGACGAGCCACGTGGTGGAGGGGGGGGGGGGAGGTGCCTTATGCCCTCCCAACTACCCCCCTGTGATTTCCTCAGCAACCAAACCGATTTTCCATCGCCCAGAGTTGGTGGTAAAATTGGAGTGGTGTTAATGAGAGTAATTGTAGGGATAGTGGTGGTGTTGGTGGGGAGCGGTAGTGTAGCAGTTAGGGTTCAGCGCTACAAACCCGGCGATCCAAGTTCAATTCCTGCTCACGGCCGACACAAGTATCGATTATCTGAACCGGTCTTGGGCCTACCCTAGGTCGACTCAGCCTCAAATGAGTACCTGGTGCGTTACGTAAACATCGCCACGAGGGAGACAAAGGCGGCTGGGCATAGTGTTGGCCACTCACTCCCTCGTGTGGCGTTCCAGCCTTCAAAGGTGTTCGCTAACAGCACTTGCCCCTACAGTCTGTACAGGCTATAGAGGAGACATCTGTATTCGTTTTTTTGTTGGTGATGATGGTGGTGATGATGGTGGTGATGGTGGTGATGGTGGTGATGGTGGTGTTGGTGATGTTGGTGGTGTTGGCGACAGTGGCAATGGTGGTGATAGTGATAACTGTATGAATGGTGGTGGTTGTGGTTGCGACCGTCATGGTGATGGTAGTGGCATTGGTGATTGCGTGGGTGGTGGTGGTGATTGCGTGGATAGTAGTTCTGATTGTGTGGATGGTAGTGGTCATTGTGTGGATGGTAGTGGTCATTGTGTGGATGGTAGTGGTCATTGTGTGGATAGTAGTGGTAGTGATGATTGTGTGGATAGTAGTGGTAGTGGTGATTGTGTGGATGGTAGTGGCAGTGGTGATTGTGTGGATGGTAGTGGTGAATGTGTGGATGGTAGTGGTGGTGATTGTGTTGGTGGTAATGGTGGTGGTAGGGATTGTTGATGGTAGTGGTGATTGTGTAGATGGTAGTGGTGGTAATTTTGTAGATGGTAGTGGTGATGTTGAATGTGTGGATGATAGTGGTGGTGGTGATTGTGTTAATGGTAGTGGTGATGGTGAATGTGTGGATGGTGGTGGTGAATGTGTGGATGGTGGTGGTGGTGGCAGCAGGCGAGTGTGTTGGCCGGTGGGCAAGTGTGGGTGACTTATTTTTAGTTCTTTCGGTAAAGTCACGTTGAAGGGGAACAACAAAATAATAAAATATATATAAAACAATAAAAATTCTCAAGACGTTTCGACCATAACACAAACGGTCGTCTCCAGGTGTGTCGGTTTGCATAAATTTATTTATTTTTAAACGGTGTATTTATTTATTTATAAAAAAAAACGTTAGCGCCACGCGCAGCGATTTAGCAGTTTATTTAGACGGACTAGTCCATCTATAAATTTTGATTTAAAGCTTTCGTGACTGCAGTAATTCATATTCTTAGTTTTTTCGGTAAAGTCACGTTAAAGGGAAACAACAAAATAATAAAATATATATAAAACAATAAAAAATTCTCACGACGTTTCGACCATAACTCAAACGGTCGTCTTCAGGTGTGTTGGTTTGCATAAACGTATTTTTAAACGCCGCATTTATTTATTTATAAAAACGTTAGCGCCACGCGCAACGATTTGGCAGTTTATTTAGGACTAGTCCATCTATATTCTGAAAAGAGGATGGGGGAGACGACATTTTTTATAATGTATGCTGTCTGAAAGCCACTGTAAGCGTGAACAATCAATTAAGACCTGAAATGGTTTATCAAATCTTTCCAATGATTGCTTAGATAGAATCCATCTTCTCGGTTGAAATTGTCTCTGTGCTTGTATATGTGGATAGCCTCATGAACGAATCTCTCATGGAAGCCAGATGGCTTACAAAGAACCTCTGTCTTGGAAAAGTCAATGGCATGTGAGCCTACTGAATTAGAACAATGATCTGCCACGGCCGAGGTGTTGGTCCTACCGTGTTTAAGGTCTGCTTTGTGTTCACGAATGCGGTCCGAGACATGGAGTTTGGTTTCTCCAATGTAACTACTACCACAGAGGCAACTTAGTTTGTAGACACCAGGGTATTGTATGTCCGGAATCGCATCTTTTACAGACGGAACCAGATCACGGATTTTATGTAATGTGTTGAAACGGACCTGGATCTTGTGTTTATTCAAGATTTTGGAGATCTGTTTTGTGATCCCCGCAATGTAGGGTAAAGTGATGGTTTTGAAAGGCTCCTCAAGAGGGTCCTTCTTCATGGTTTGAGTGATAGCTTTGCGGATTGTATAGTCGGAGTAACCATTAGCCTTAAGAGCTTGGTGTACGTGCTTGAGTTCACTGCCTATGTGTTCCTGGTCGGATATGCATTGGGCTCTATGATACAGAGTCTTGATGAGAGAATTCTTCTGTGATGGATGGTGGTGGGAATCCGATTTCAGATAAGCATCCGTATGGGTAGCTTTCCTGTAGACAGAGTGGCTCATTGAACCATCAGGTCTCTTTTTAATTAGGACATCCAAAAAAGGTAGCTTGCCATCTATTTCGACTTCCATGGTAAATCTTACACATTACATAAAATCCGTGATCTGGTTCCATCTGTAAAAGATGTGATTCCGGACATACAATACCCTGGTGTCTACAAAATAAGTTGCCTCTGTGGTAGTAGTTACATTGGAGAAACCAAACGCCATGTCTCGGACCGCATTCGTGAACACAAAGCAGACCTTAAACACGGTAGGACCAACACCTCGGCCGTGGCAGATCATTGTTATAATTCAGTAGGCTCACAAGACATTGACTTTTCCAAGACAGAGGTTCTTTGTAAGCCATCTGGCTACCATGAGAGATTCGTTCATGAGGCTATCCACATATACAAGCACAGAGACAATTTAAACCGAGAAGATGGATTCTGGCTTAGCAATCATTGGAAAGATTTGATAAACCATTTCAGGTCTTAATTGATTGTTCACGCTTACAGTGGCTTTCAGACAGCATACATTAAAAAAAAAAATTCGTCTCCCCCCTCCTCTTTTCAGAACATAGATGGACTAGTCCGTCTAAATAAACTGCCAAATCGCTGCGCGTGGCGCTAACGTTTTTAAAATAAATAAATGCACCGTTTACAAATAAATACATTTATGCAAACCGACACACCTGAAGACGACCGTTTGTGTTATGGTCGAAACGTCATGAGAATTTTTATTGTTTTATATATATTTTCTTATTTTGTTGTTTCCCTTCAACGTGACTTTACCGAAAGAACTAAGAGTATGAATTACTGCAGTCACGAAAGCTTTAAATCAAAATGTGGGTGACTTCACGAATGGACAAGCGTGTGGAGAAGTGTCGGGGAGTGGCGAGGCCAGGAGGTGGTGCTGCTCACCGTCGTTGAGGAGTGAACTTTCTCCCCGGACTCCCGCAGCAGCTTACTCGCCGACTTGGAGCTGCTCGCAACACCAAGACAAAGATCCCCCGTATAGCATTTACAGACTGTTGGGGCAAGTGCTATTAGTGCTGTTGGTGCACCTTACAAGGCCAGCACTCCACAAGAGGGGTGGTGGCCAGCGCCACGCCGCCTCTGTCTCCTTGCAATGTTTACACACCGCACCAGGTACTCATTTGAGGCTAAGTCGATACGTACACACACATGCACAGCCACGTGAGTCGTGCACACACACAGTGCCTCCTGTGCACACACACACACACAAAGTGCTTCGCATGTCGCCCGTACAGACATGGGAAGTGTTGTAGTTGGCACAGGATGCGGGGGGGGGGGCGGGGGGTGGGGGGCCGTGTGGGGGTGCGGTGAGGTTGGTACCGCATCCGCTTACAGCCCATGTTGACACAGACAGAGCAACAAAGCACCCGACTGTGCCGAGGTCAGACTACACACACGCACACATACATACATAAACAGATAATACATAAACAAATAATACATAAACAGATAATATATAAAAGACAGATCCCCATGTAGCCTTCCGGAGGCTGCTTGGGACAATTGCCATTCGCAGGTACACGAAGGGATGGTGTGGCCAGCACAACCCCCCTCTCCCCACCGTTAATGTTTACACACTGCGCCAGGTGCTCATTGAAAGTTGCACGTGCTGCAGGAGGATGCTGCAACGTGGCTCTGTGGGCTGACGTCTGCTCGTGGGTGGGAATAGAACATGGGTTGCCGGGTTTGTAGCAAGCGAACCACGACCCTCTCATTCTCTCACACAACACTTTCACACATTCTCACACACCGACAGACACTCTCACACACATGCTTACACTCTCACAAAGACAAAGGCCCGCCATATAGCCTTGACTGGCTTTTGGGGCAAGTGCTGTTGGCGAGCACCAATGAAGGTCGGCACGGCACACGAGGAGTGGGATGGTCCATACCACGCCTGGGCGCCTTTGTCTCCCCCAGTGGACTTGTTTACACACCACACCAGGTACTCATCTGAGGCTGAGTCGACCTTTGTGAGGCCCAGGACCGGTTCAAATAATCGTCACTGCTATTGGCCGTGATCAGGAAACGAGCTCGGGTCGCCAATTCCGTAGCACAGCGCGCTACACCACATTCTCACACACACAACAACAACGGCCATTCGCCACTAAGTGGCGGTGACGTCACCACGATGCTTGTGCCAGGCCATGTGCACCTTGAGGCCACGTGAAGTGTCGAACGCCCGCTGGCAGGAGGTCACGGGGCAGACCCAGGTGCCACGGGTCGACTGACTGAGATGACTGGCTGATGCACCACCTGTGCCCCCTACTGTGCCAACCTGCTGTGCTTTAGCCACTCGGCGCTTCGCTCGTTGTTGTGAGCGTCGCTCCTCCACCCTCCGTTGTTGTTGGAGGGCGACTGCCTCCAACTGCCCAGTAGCGTCCTTCATGAGCCTCCTCCACAGAGGCCGACCTTGACACCGCTGGTACCAGTCATCGGCAAGTCCACTCAGCTCCACGTCCTCCTGTACCACATCACTCCATCTCTTCTCTAGCCCGTGCCGCGCCCGTTTAGCCCCCTCGATCCGGCCGAACAAAAGCTGTTTCGGCATGCGGTGGCTGGGCATGCGGGCTACATGACCCAGCCAACGCAGCCTTGCCTGCCGGAGGAGCTCACCGATGGGACCTTTCCCAGATCTTTCAAAGATTTGTGAGCTCCTCACACAATCCAGCCTGGTTAAACCCAGGATGGATCGTAGGCAGGCTAGCCTAAATGTTTCTAACCGGCGAAGATGTTCCATTAGGGGGGTCCACGTTTCGCAAGTGTAGAGAAGGGAGGGAATGACCGTGGCCAGGAAGACCTGAAGCTTAGTGCGGAGCGACAGACCAGGTAGCTTCCACACAGCGTGACGCTAACCGATGAAAAGATATTGCCGCTCAACTGATTCGGAGTGAGACCTCTGCTGTTAAACTGGAGCCGGTCATAAGCACACTGCCCAGGTATGGGAAACTTTCCACTCTCTCCACAACTGCCCCATCACCGATTGGGAGTTGTGGAGGTGGAGTGTCCGATGGTACAAAATACCCAGGCAGGTGCTTAGTTTTGGTGGGGTTCACACACACACACATTCTCACACACTCACATTCACACACACATTCTCACACACACACACATTCCCACACACACACACACATTCTCACACACACATTCTCACACACACCGTAACCGCAGGCTGTGGGGAAGGCTGAGTCACTGAGGTTACTGCTGCTGAGCAGAGACCGTGCAAGTGGAGACGGAAGTCGGCAGCTCAAGGGGCAGGGCCTCGTGGAGCCAGTGGGGGCTATGGGGGAGGGAGCGAGGCGGGGAGCACAGTGGGCTTCATCAACACCTGCCCAAACCTCTAACCACTAATCCCAACTTTAACTCACAGCCCTTCCCTAATCCCTATGTCCCTCTCGAACTCAGAGCACTAAACCCTATACTTATGCCCAAAACCTATACCTATGTATGACATGTATCCCTAACCCTTAACCCGTATTCCAAACTCTAACCCCTATCCCGAAGCCCTATTGCTATACCTACCCCTAATGCCAGCACAACCCGCACGGACGTCGGTGAGCTCCAGGGCGGCACAACCGCGGACACCCGCGCGCGAAGTGGGGGGTTAAACCGCGCTCTCTCTTCCGGCGGACGGTGGTGCCAGCGGTGCGCCCTCTCACCGGGCCAGCTGCCGCCTCATCCTCCTTCCCGGCTCCGGCTCCGGCTCAGGCTCGGGCTCTTGCCGGGGCTCAGGTTGGGCGACGCAGCTTGGCGTCGCGTCCGGGATGCGGCCGTCGTCAAACGAGTTGCCGTTGGTCCCCACGGAGTCGGTGTTCGAGTCGATGCTGCTCGCGCCAACACAACGCACGCCACAAATCAACGAAGGGTCCCCCGCTTCCCCTCCGTGTAACCTTTAGCGGGCTGTTGGGGCAAGTGCTGTCTGCGAGCACCTATGAAGGCCGACACGGCCATACTGCACCAGTCACTCATTTAAGGCTGAGTCGACCTAAGGGAGGCCCAGGACCAGTTCAGGATATTAATCACTGTTGTTGGCCACGAGCAGACACACACATACACACACATACATACACACACAGGTAAACACAAAAACACAAGTAGACACAAAGACCCCCGTGTAGCCTTAACAGACTCTTGGGGAAAGTGCTGTTAGCGAGCACCTATTAAGGCCGGCACGGCACACGAGGGGGTGGGTGGCCAATACCACGCCCGGCCGCCTTTGTCTCCCCAGTGGTGATGTCTACATCACACCAGGTACTCATTTGAGGTTGAGTCGACCTAGCTGAGGCCCAGGACCGATTCAGGTAATGGTCACTTGTGTCGGCCGTGAGCGGGAAGCGAACTTGGGTCGCCGGGTTCGTAGCCGGCGTGCTAACCATTCCACTACCACAGGTACAAAGACAAAGATACACAGGTACACACACACAGGTACACACACACAGGTACACACACAGGTACACACACGCGTACAACAACAACCGCCATTCGCCACTAATTGGCGGTGACGTTACCACGACGCTTGTGCCAGGCCATGTGCACCTTGAGGCCACGTGAAGTGTCGAACGCCTGCTGGCAGGAGGTCACGGGGCAGACCCAAGTGCCACGGGTCGACTGGCTGAGATGACTGAGATGACTGGCTGATGCACCACCTGTGCCCCCTACTATGCCAACCTGCTGTGCTTTAGCCACCCGGCGCTCCGCTCGTTGTTGTGAGCGTCGCTCCTCCGCCCTCCGTTGTTGTTGGAGGGCGACTGCCTCCAACTGCCCAGTAGCGTCCTTCATGAGCTTCCTCCACAGAGGCCGACCTTGACACCGCTGGTACCAGTCATCGGCAAGTCCACTCATCTCCACGTCCTCCTGTACCACATCACTCCATCTCTTCTCTAGCCCGTGCTGCGCCCGTTTAGCCCCCTCGATCCGGCCGAACAAAAGCTGTTTCGGCATGCGGTGGCTGGGCATGCGGGCTACATGACCCAGCCAACGCAGCCTTGCCTGCCGGAGTAGCTCACCGATGCGACCGTGCCCAGATCTTTCAAGGATTTGTGAGCTCCTCACACAATCCAGCCTGGTTAAACCCAGGATGGATCGTAGGCAGGCCAGCCTAAATGTTTCTAACCGGCGAAGATGTTCCATTAGGGGGGTCCACGTTTCGCAAGCGTAGAGAAGGGAGGTACACAAAGACAAAGATCCCCCGTATAGCCTTAACAGACTGTAGGGGCAAGTGCTGTTAGCGAGCACCTATGAAGGCCGGAATGGTACACGAGGGGGTGGGTGGCCAGCACCACGCCCGACCGCCTTTGTCTCCCCAGTGGCAATGTTTACACACCGCACCAGGTTCTCATTTGAGGCTGAGTCGACCTAGGGGAGGCCCGGGACCGGTTCAGATAATCGTCACTGGTGTTGGCCGTGAGCGGGAATCGAACCCGGGTCGCCAGGTTCATAGCACAGCGCGCTAACCACTACACTACCGCTCCCCACTACACACACAGGTACACAAACACACAGGTACACACACACACACACAGGTACATACACACGCGTACACACAGATACACACACACGCGTCCACACACACAGGTACACACAGGTACACACAGGTACACACAAAAGATCCCCCGCATAGTCTTAACAGACTTTTGGGGCAAGTGCTGTTAGCGAGCACCTATGAAGGCCGGTACGATACACGAGGGGGTGGGTGGAGAGCACCACGCCCGACCGCCTTTGTCTCCCCAGTGGCGATGTTTTAACGCACCGCACCAGGTACTCATTTGAGGCTGAGTCAACCTAGGGGAGGCCCAGAACTGGTTGAGATAATCGTCACTGGTGTTGGCCGTGAGTGGGAATCACACTCGGGTCGCCGGTTTCATAGCGCGGCGCGCTAACCACTACACCACCGCTCCCCATCAGGGCACACACACACACACGCGTACACACACAGGTACACATACACACACAGATACACACACATACAGTACAGACCCACAGGGACATGCCGAGTGACAGCCGCCTCCGAGTTTGAAATGAGTTTCACGTTGACCCAAATCCTGCGGTGAGATGCTCAGCCCCGGGGCGACCGGGCAGGAAACCTGACGATTCCCAAGGTGGGCGAGCGGCCACCGCCCCAACCTGCCCTGCCCACCCCCCCCGGCTACCCCCCACCACTACCCCCCAAACATCCCAATGTAGCAGCACTCAGCAACCGAGCAAACAAAATCGCACACCACATCCAGTATAGCTCTAGCTACGGCTCTGGTGGGTCCTGCTCGCCACGTGCCACCTACCCGGGGCGGCAGTCTTACACAGCAGCCTGGGAAATATTTCCCCAAACCCGACACACCAACATCCGACGTGCGTCACGCGATCACTGGACAACCGCTGTCTGCCGACGAAATGTGAACAACATTGAAGAACGATTCGTAAACAACGCGAACGGAGTAAGCCTACACGTCAAGTGTAGGCTAATGGAGCACATGGAACTGTAGATCTTCTCTCAAAACTGCCCTAGAGGAGTTGTTTACCCCTAGCTGCCACTGCTATTCATTGGTGTAAAATAAAATAAAATGTTTCGCTCCGGATGACGCTGCAAAGTATTATCTGTATTTTGATTTAGCGTGCTGATCTTAAAGGTGCATTGAAAAATTTGATACTCCGACTGATGCTTCTGTTGTTGTGGAGTAACTCATGCAGCCAGCTATGGCTCTAGAATTTGGTGTTACATGTTATTTATGTAGTTTATTGTAAAAATTCGGTCACAGTCCCTATGATCACTGTTACGTTGCAATTATGGCTTTATTTTTTTTATTTCGAAAACGTTTTTTGGTATGGACATGTTTGTTTTGTTGTGGTACGGAGTTAGACTGATGTGTTTGTTGTTGTTTGACTTGCATCCCACTGGGATTTTTTGTACACAGCGTTTGTGTACGGTGCCTTTTTCAGGAATATTTTGCCGTTTTTTCATGGATTTTCTGTTTTTGCACAGTCACATAGTCACTTTAAGATGTTTTTCTTGTTCGTATTTTTGTTTTTTTGTTTGTTGTGGTTGCACCCGATTCAAGAGCGGAATGGCTCACAGGGCTATACCAAAATAAATAAATAAAAACTAAACTGAAAAAGAAAGGAACTAGAAAAGCGAGAAGGATAAACGCGAGAAAGCCTTCAAATCGCCTGCGAGGGTGTGGTGGTGAATCCTCACACATCGGGGAAATAAATACAGGACATTGTCGTTGTAAACTTTGCAATGATTGCTGCGAATCCGCCGCTATTGTTACTGTTATTACACGCGCTGCCACGTTCGCAGGTGAGATAACAGATAAGGAATCGCTCCGAGTTGGCCCATTACATCACAGCTGGGCATTGCAGCATTGCTCCTGATTTACAATGTGTCACAGTGTGTCACAATGTGTCACAGTGTGTGTGTCACAGTGTGTGTGTCACAGTGTGTCACAGTGTGTGTGTTACAGTGTGTGTGTTACAGTGTGTCACAGTGTGTGTGTATATTATAGTGTGCGTGTGTACCTGTGTGTGTGTACCTGTGTGTGTGTACCTGTGTGTACACGTGTGTGTACCTGTGTGTGTAGTGGGGAGCGATAGTGTAGCGGTTAGCGCGCTGCGCTATGAACCCGGCTACGCGGGTTCGAATCCCGCTCACGGCCAACACCAGTGACGATTATCTGAACCGGTCCCGGGCCTCCCCTAGGTCGACTCAGCCTCAAATGAGTACCTGGTGCGGTGTGTAAACATTGCCACTAGGGAGACAAAGGCGGTCGGGCGTGGTGCTGGCCACCCACCCCCTCGAGTACCGTTCCGGCCTTCATAGGTGCTCGCTAACAGCACTTGCCCCTACAGTCTGTTAAGGCTATATGGGGGATCTTTGTTTGCATCTTTGTTTGTTTTGTGTGTGTTACAGTGCGTGTTAAAGTATGTGTAGTGTGTTACAGTGTGTGTAGTGTGTTACAGTGCGTGTAGTGTATCGGTTATCGCACTGCGCCACGAACCTGGCGACCCGAGTTCGATTCCCGCTCACGGCCAACGCCGGTGACGATTATCTGAACCGGCCCTGGGCCTCCCCTAAGTCGACTCGGCCTCAAACGAGTACCTGGTGCGATGTGTAAACATCGTCACGAGGGAGACAAAGGCGGCCGGGCGTGGTTGCTGGCCACCCACCCCCTCGTGTGCCGTGCCGACCTTCACAGGTGCTGCTCGCTAACAGCACTTGCCCTAACACTCTGTTAAGGCTACACGGGGGAGCTTTATCTTTGTTACGCCTCTCTCCTTGTGGATTTCCTCCAGCCTCTCCGATTTCCTCCCGTAACTAAAAGCACCGATACAATGTAACCGCCGTTGGCCAAACACGCCAATGCTGAAATATCGCAACTACTCGATTGGGATTACACGGAGCAGCATCAGCACCATCGTCACCCCCTCCTAGACATTCTTGGCAGGGCGAGGCCTTCCTCAAGCCCACGGTGGATAGGAGATGTTCACTTCCTCGCCTGGTCTACAGGAGGTCGTGGGTTCGACCCTGACGCCTGCTGCTGCTGTATATTTGGAGTTTGCGTGTCTCTCTCATCATCACGGTGGCTAGATGTTCACTTCCTCGCCTGATCTACAGGAGGTCGTGGGTTCGACCCTGACGCCTGCTGCTGTATATTTGGAGTTTGAGTGTGTCTCTCTCATCATCATCATGGTGGCTAGGAGATGTTGACTACCTCGCCTGGTATACAGGAGGTTGTGGGTTCGACCCGGACGCCTGCTGCTGTATATTTGGAGTTTGCGTGTCTCTCTCTCTCATCATCATCACGGTGGCTAGGAGATGTTCACTTCCTCG